AGCTTATACAGGGTGGGGCAGAACTGATTGAACAGTTTTGAGGCAAAATAAAAGAGTAATGGAGGTACATAAAGAAGAAAGTTTATTTTCCTCGAGATTAGCATAACATACCATTTAAAATACTTATGTTTTGAAAACAATATCAGGAAGATGGGGTTTGTTAGCTGCAACATACTGTTGGAGTCGTTATCGGAAGTTTCCAACAGCACGTTCACACATATGACGATGTATGGCCATAACCTCTGCTGCAATAATCCGTCCTCTTAGCTGTGGTAGGGTGTGAGGGCGACTTCTGAACATCTTTTTTTTTAGATGTCCCCAAAGAAAGAAATCGCAAATGCTCAAATCATGTGACCTCACAGGCCACTGTAAATCACCCCTCAGAGACACCAGACGTCCGGGAAACATGCGCTTCAAAACATAGAGTGCATGCCATTCGGGCTGTGTGAGCTGTAGCCCCACCCTGCTGGAACTACACGTCTCCCAATGCTTCATTTTCAACAATGTTTTCCATCCTGGGCTGCAAGAGATTTTGCACCATTGCAGCATAGCGTTCGGAATTCACTGTCACGGTTGCTCCCTCCTCTGAGAACGACTCAAACAGTGTGTTGCAGCTAACGGCTCCATCTTCCAGATGTTGTTTTCAAAACATAAGTATTCTAAATGGTATGCTATGCTAACCTCGAGGAAAATAAACTTTCTTCTTTATGAACCTCCATTACTCTTATTTTGCCTCAAAACTGCTCAATCGGTTCTGTCCCACCCTATATATATATTGAGAGGTTGAGATTGTATTGACCTTTTAGGAAATTAGAAAGATTTTCCACCCTAGTACGAGTATTCTAATTAAGATATTCAATTTAAATCTTTAAATATTCGAATTTATAACTAGAAACAAAACAATTACTATTATAAAATTATATATAAAATATTTAAATGCAGCGAATGGAAATAAAATGTTTGAATTGTGCACATGTTCATTTCAAACAGTGATAGCTTTTCTCATATCATAAGTCTCATTTCAAGTTGTTTAAGGTTTGTTTGGTTATCGTTCAATTTATGTTTAGTATTGGTTTATTGGTCTGAATTAAATGGGAACAGTGCAGTCAGCCACTCAGTCACTACTAGTCGGTGTGTTTAGACTTTAGAGGGTAAAGTCTGGTAGATTTATAGTGATAGTGATTTATATTGATAGTGTTGTGCACTGTGCTGTCAGCTGCCTATCTGTTATGTGACACTTCAGTGTTTAGAAGATCCACATTCCTTAAGTGTTGTTGTATATTGAAGCCAGTTAAATGGTCAATATTTAGCTCGTTACCTTGCTCCATGGTCCATACATACTTCACAAAGCTAATGAATAGACTTATCAATAATTGTTTACCCAAAAATCCCAAAGTGGTAAACACCACTTTGGCCTGTTGGCCATTATTGAAGGCAATAAGTGCCCTTTTTAGCCATTCATTATGATCCATATACTGTTATTGTTAGTAGGCTAATTGCAACAGAAAAAATAACCTATTAAAAAAGACAAAAAAATTGAAAAAATAAAAAAATAATGAAATAAATAAAAAAATCATGAAAAAATAAATAAAATCATTGATTTTTGATTTTTTAAATAAAAAATCACCAACCCTGTTCTTCACTAGTAAACACTAGATCTAGAATATTTGGGGTTTGTTTACCTCTAAAATGGGTTGGCTTGGTGATATTCTGGATTAAAAATGAGTCTCGCACAGACTCCAAGAACAGGGATGCTGGGTGATTCCCATCTCTTGGAGAAGATTCATCTGCCCAGTCTATTTCTGGATGGTTAAAGTCACCAACGATCAACGTATGCGACCTGCTGAATGACATGCTCGGTAAAAGGTTGTTTAGTACTTTATTGTTATCAGAGGAGCTGTTAGGTGATCTGTAAATGACCCCTATGAGAAGGCTATCTTTGCCTTTTAGAGTAAGTTTGCACCACACTGATTCTCTAGCTGATTGATGGTCTGCAGATAATATAACTTGCTGGGCCCCATAGAAGGTTCTAACCCACAGAGCTACACCTCTACTGCACTGCTCTTCATTTAAGTTATGAAAACAGTCGAAAACTGGCAACTGAAATTCAACGGGTACAATTTATCCCCGTGATTTTTAGGGAGTGTTTCTTTAATACAGATAATGTCAAATAATGTCCAAACCTACCAGATTATCCCCTGAAAATCCTATTACATTATACTCACTGCTTGACCATATTTGGTGCAACTTCTGTGGATCTAATCCAGAAGCAGGGGTTATCGATTGTGACTTATCAGACCATATGATGACATTTTTTTTACTTTGAAACTGAGTTGTCGACAGCTCCATCCAGGAAAAACACTCGCTATGTCAATGCCGACAACATTCACGTGTTCAAGGAGAACATGAAATTTTTTCCTTCGCTAGCTATAACTAATATTGATTACCCTAACCTTGCCATGCGGTCTTGCTTGGATGAACTTTTTCAAAATTTACAACTCGTCCTTTCCAATAAAGTCTGTCGTGATTAAAAAACGTGGACCTCCTTGGGTTACCACTGAAATTAAATCTTCAATCAAGAAGGCGCATAACCTCCTGAAGCTTTCCCGTTCTGGTGCAATTTGTCGTGGATCGTACTCGATCTACCGGAATGTCTTGAATGTGCTGTTGAAAATGGTCAAGAAGCAATACTACTCGACCAAAATCCAGCAAGACTCTAACGACTCGAGGGCCTTGTGGAATACTGTTAATTCTCTTCTTGCAAGGAATCTTGTGCGCCAAAAAGATTGAAATGTACAAAAATAACAAGTTGATGCCTGATTCTGAACTAACCATTGAATATAATGAATATTTTATCTCCGTCGCGAATGACATAACTAAAGATCTAGGTCCGGTGCAGAGTAATACGACTTGTGGTGTTCCGTTCTGTGACGCGTCATGCTTCCTATCTCCTACTTCAGCATCTGAGGTAAAGAGCTTTTTACGATTGTGCAAGGAGGCTTAACGTTGAAGAATTTCAGCCACGAGTATTGTGCGAGGTTGCCGATATTATAGCGCCTGTTTTAGCTCATATCTTTAATTTGTGTATGTCTACTGGAATTTATCCTGATGTACTGAAGCATGCTCGTAACATACCGATTTCTAAGTCTGGCAACTCAAGTAACGTATGCAACTATCGACCAATATCTACCTTGCCCTGCCTTAATAAGATTTTTGAAAAATTCTTCACTCTAGTCTAGACTTACGAATTTCCTTGATAAATTTTCTTTAATATCTGATAGTCAATTTGGATTCCGTAAGGGCACAAACACTACAATGGCTATATTTTACTTAGTCCAAGATTTACTTAAGGAATTCCATGCAAAATATTACTGTATTGCTCTTTTTCTTGACCTGCAAAAGGCCTTTGATTGCGTGAACCATCAAATTCTCTTGAACAAACTCTACCATTATGGCATTAGAGGGCCTTTTTATGCATTGATAAAGTCATATCTAACCAATAGAGAACAATATGTTTCATTGTGCGAGTACAAATCGCCCTCAAGACCAATCACGATTGGAGTACCCCAGGGCTCTGTTCTGTGGCCTCTTCTTTTTAATATTTTCATAAATGATATCGCCTCTTCTTTTAATGCGAACTGCAAGCTTTTTGCTGATGATGCCGTTTTTTATATCTCGAAAGGTACCTACGATGAAGCGTGTGATAGCATTTCGGATCTGTCAGCAGACTTGTCAAGATGGCTGTTAGTAAATAAGTTAGTGGCACACACCGATAAAACTAAACTGATGCTTTTTACGTCTCGACCTGTTGTCGCCCCTCGGAACATCACTTTTAATGGATCAATTTTAGAATGGGTTGACGATTTTCGTTATTTAGGCTTAATCCTTGACAATAAAATGTCTTTTAAAAAACATATTACTTCCGTTTGCCAGGGACTTAGCAAAGCCCATAGAGTGTTACATGCTCTATCAAGTATCTTACCTTTCTCCTCGTTAAGAACGCTCTTCTATTCGTTGTTTTTATCTAAATTTTTTTAAACCCTTGTAATATGGGGTGGAGTACCTCTCTGTACAAAAAAAGCCGGTTATCACGTTGATGAACAGGATCGACACTGCGGTCAATCCTTAGGGTTCGATATGTTAACTATGTACCATTGATTCGTACTAATGAATTATATAGACAGTCAAAAATCCTGAAATTCGACGACATGTACAAATTTAGGCTTTTACAGTTTATGAATAGGGCACTTTTTCATGATCAGCGTCTTTTTGAAAGTTTTTTTGCTCCTCATCATTTCCACGATATCAGAGGCGTTCGTTTCAACCTTCCACCGGTCCGTTTAGAAATAGAGAAAAATGGTACTGTTTTTAATTGTGTAAAACATATTAATGAACTGCCTGATGATTTCAGAATAAACTGTTCTAAATCCATTTTAAAGACAAAATTTCGTGATCACATTTTTGCTCAATATTAATTTAACTTTGTTTATCATATAGTTTTTTTTTCTTGTGACAATTTACTTACTGTATGTACTGCCTTTACTTTAGAATGTAATATTTGTTTTAATTTTCGTTGTACATGTTGCCACTATTACGTTCATACTTGTCACCTATTATACGCCTGCGAAGCTTTTTTACAGCTTGTATGGGCTTTTCACCTGGAAGCTTTTATTACCAAATAGCATGTTTTTTTCTCTTTCTTTTTAGTCGTGCTGTGTTGCTTCTGTGTGTGAAAGAATAAAGAATAAAGTCAAGTTATTAATTCACCCTCAACTTCGTTCTATACAGTATAATATAATTTAAAATCAGAATTACCGACGCTCTAATCAGACAATGTCTCATTCATTCCTCTGGTTGCAGGCAAGTTTCATCTCGTGAACCGCAAGGGCCACGTAGAGAAGAGCGTTGCTGCCCACCAGGGGGCGGCTCTCACTAGCCGCTGGAATCACGACGGGTCGAGCTTTCTTACTGGTAAGAATATTAGTTGAGTATCCCTTATATGACCAAAAATTTTAAAATGTGAAAAGTTCCTTCACTTTTCTGATATTTACGGAGAATCAGCACGATTTTTGACATATTTTTTTAAAACATCAGAAGATTTATAATTATATTTATAGAAAACTGGCAACATGAGCGCATCCACATTTTGTTACTTCCAACATGGGCTGCTCAACTAGAAGTTCTTCGCTCCAAATTGAAATGAATAAAAAATTACTTAGGTACATATATTTATGGTAATTATGGTCTTTAGGGCTTTGAAAGGATTCTTGGCTTCAAGGATTTTTTGGAAATTCAAGGTTTTACTGAAGCCCAGTTGAGTAGCATAATAAGGTTAGAATGGAATAGAAGTGTCGGCACTGATGAAATAGGCCCACGGTAAACAATTGTGGTGGGCATTTAAAAGATATTATATTTAAAAACTAGGATACAATATTACCATAAAAATGTTCTTCTTTTAAATAAAACAAGTTTCAACTTCATAACGTTCTTAGATTTTTATTTATTAACAAATTAAAAGGGTTACTTAATTCTGAAACACCCTGTACGATGAGAGACCTGCGAACAAGGTCATAATTAGAACAGGAATTTCAAATGACAGTTGATTATTCTACGTTAAACAAAATATAAATTTAACATCCTAAAATTTTAAATTCATAATCATTGTAATTGAGGTTTACAAGCGACAATATTGATTCTCAAAGTAATTGGAATACAATTTACACTATTTCTGTAATAAAAGATTACAATACTTTCCTGATAACTTCTCCCTAGTCAGAGAATATCATATGATCTACTGACTGAAAATTAATAATTATTTCCTAGCGAACTTGATAAAATTCGTAGGAAGCGTTTGAACTCAAGTTAATTAAGTTACATAAAGTGAGATTTATGATCATGAATTTGATGTTTTAATTTCTTTTACTTATTACAATTAAATAAACCTTTTAATAATTTAATAAAATTTAAATCCGACCTCCACAATAATGTCAATACTATCAATTGTGATTCGTTCGATTAACTCTTCCTTAATTTAGTTTCACTATAAGCAGAGTAGGCCAGGATAAGGGAATTCTCATTACAAGACTGCCTCTGGGGCTAATAATTGGTCTGAAACCTTTCTAATCAACATTCCTAGTCAAAATGTTCGTTTGCAACAAAATGATAATGAAACAAAAATAATATTCTCTGCTACCATACCTGATTATACAATTAGTAAATTTAACTCACCCAGTCATTAATTCAAAAAAATCACACAAGGAAACTTGACAACCGTCTGCTAGTGTTCTTTCTTTAAAATGTGTCCTCTTCTGTTCCCCAACATTGGCGATGTTGCCAGAGAGTTACGAGAGAGAAATTTACACTTACCACAAATTATTTGAATTACAGAACAATATTTTTTACCACCAGAGCTTAAAACCATTACAAAATTGTCAAAAAAATATTGATATTGCGATTAACTGGCCATGATTAACTGGCTTACAATGTTAATTATATTTAGGGTAACAAGGGGCAACGGGACCACTGCTGGTCATGGGCCCATAGCGGGTTTCCCGCTAAGTATGGCAGATATTGGTCCGTGCGCTTTACCGCCGGTCGACAGTTTCACTGGGATGAAGTGTGAGGCTCTACGATTTGCTAAGAGTTTGCGTTGATATGTTACTCGCAGATAACTGTTTTAGCCCAGTTTAAAGTTGTTTTTGCAGCTATTAAAACTGTTTTTGATTACTTTATATGAAGCTTTTGAAATTACTGTGAATTATATTTTGAAAGTATTATTTATGGGGATAATTTTGAATTCAAGTTTAGACTATTAGCTTTCAAACTAAAATATTGACACGATAGAAATTGAAATGATACCTAGTGGGGCAAAGGGCCCATGCATATCACGGGGCAAAGCGCCCATGGTGGGCTCAATACCCCTCTGTGAAGTCTTGTGTTATACATCATTAGATTAGTCTCAATGAGCTCTCAAAAACCATGACTAGCTTTTGAATTACAAATTACACTTCATATTGTATGATTTTTTATTTGCTGCCTCAAGGCAGCAGGTTCTAGTTTCTAATTATGCGTATTGATGACCCCTTATCTCTCTTTCACCATTACAACATTATGCGCAACTAAAAAAGGAAGACCAATATAGTCAACTATTCTCAAACTGAACTTAAAAATTTTTTGGAGGAAATTATGAATGACAAATTACCAAGAGTTAAAATTGCCAAGTAAACGTTGCGTCAGACCAAAGACGGCAATATGAAGCAACCTGGAGTTCTTTGTTCAGGAAGACACGATAACTACATCCTTGGCTGAAATCAGGAGAGTACGACAAAGTTTTTTTGTGAAGTAAATATATTTTTTCTAGTCAGGGATACATTTTTTAATGTCAAGTATGAATTTTTAATGGCATGGATACATTTTTCAAGTCAAGGATATATATTTTTCAAGTCAAGTCTATATATTTTATGGCGAGGAAATATTTTTTCACGTCAGTGATAGATGATTTTACGCCAAGAATATATATTTTTTTCAAGTCAAGGATATGATTTTTTAAGTTGTTAATAAATAAATGAATGTAATATTTTTTATTACATTTTTCTTATTTTAAACTGTAAAGTGTTGTTTTATCATCTTTAAAACAAAAAATAGGCAATCGGGATAAGGGACAAGGGGTGGGCGCCTTGCCCCAAGCCCATGGGCCCATTGCCCCAGGAGTGGGCAATGGGCCCATTTTGACACTTTTTACAATACAGTGTTTCACTAAAAATTGAATAACTCTATAAGCTTCTAATTCACATCACACATTCCTCATCAGTTGTAACTTTAAACAAAACGATGAACTACCTCGTATCAATTGAAACTTTATCAAAAATTTAGTTTAAAAGAAGGGGTGGGCGCGCTACCCCAAAAAAGGGGTGGGCGCTTTATTCTATTAGACGGAGGCCATCAGCCAGATGCCACAAGTAACGTACATAATCAAGGCATTAAATATGTAAAAATACAGTTTTCCTTCTAGTAATCTCGCGAATCACTACAGGCCCTTGTTTGTCATCACTACCTTCACTGTCGTCCTACCTCACCATATGCTTTGAAACATCGAACCTAGATCAAACCTGCATCACTTTTCATTACGACTTCTGGAGGTTCATGCTCCATATTAAAAATATTCTTATGAAACTAAGGCGGTGAGGACGGCCTGGTGAAGTTCTGGACGCGTAGTGGCATGCTGAGGTTCTCGCTGAGCAAGAGCTCAGGGTTCGTCTACAGCGCTGCCTGGTCCCCTGAATCGGACGCTGTGCTCTACACTTCTGGCACCGCGCTAGTCATCGAACCTCTGACAGCCAACACCAAGCCCAAACAGGTGCGGCATAGTATCCTATTGATGATTTATTCTATCACGAGTTAAGCATTTTTGCTGTGACACCGCGTTAGTCATCGAACCTCTGACAGCCAACGCCAAGCCCATGCAGGTGCGGCATAGCATTTATTTTTTGATGATTTACTGTATGAACAGTTTTATTATTTTGCTATGGCCCCGCACTCGTCGAGCCTCTTGCAGTCAAGCCCACTCCCTTGCTGCCCACGGCGGGGGATATGTCGGAGCCAGTGAATTATATTTCTATTCAGTTCGATGTTATTAACTATCTGGCTATTTAATAATAATTTTGGGGATCAAGTATTGTAATGTTTAGGGTAACATGGGGCAGCGGGCCCTCCCCCTTTTTTAAACTAAATTTTTGATGAAGTTTTAATTGATACGAGGTAGTTCTTTGTTTTATTTAAAGTTACAACTAATGTGGAATGTATGGTGTGAATTAAATGCCTATAGAGTTATTCAATTTTTAATGAAAAACTATTTTGTAAAAAGTGTCAAAATGGGCCCATTGCCCCACCCATGGCTTGGGGCAAGGTGCCCACCCCTGGTCCCTTACAGCAATTGCATATTTTTTGCCTAAAAATGATAAAACAGCACTTTACAGTTCAAAGTAAGAAAAATGTAATAAAAAATATTACATTCATTCATTTATTAACAACTTAAAAAATCATATCCTTCACTTGAAAAAGAATATCTAGGCTTAAAATATCTATCACTGACGTGAAAAAAATATTTCCTTAACATAAAAATATATATCCTTGACTTGAAAAATATATCCTTGTCATAAAAAATTCATCCTTGACATGAAAAAATATATCCTTGACTAGAAAAAATATATTTACTTGATCAGAAAAAACTTCGTTACAGTTTCGTCCATAATCCAAATATTATGCGAGGGGAATTCGTACTTAATCGTGATTTCAGCCAACACCATAAAAACTCGTCAACTTTTGGCTCATTGGTGTTGGCTGAAATCAACTTTTGGCAAGACGAGAGTCAATAACTCGATACGAGGTCATAAATAAGCATAACTAGAAACTAGAACCTGCTGCCTTGAGGCGGCAAATCAAAAAATCATGCAATATGAAGTGTAATTTGTAATTCAAAAAGCTAGTAATAGTTTTGGAGAGCTCATTGAGACAAATCTAATGATGTATATCACAAGACTTCACAGAGGGGTATATTGAGCTCACCACGGGCGCTTTGCCCCGTGATATGCATGGGCCCGTTGCCCCATTAGGTATCATTTCAATTTATATCGTGTCAACATTTTAGTTTAAAAGATAATAGTCTATTCTTGAACTCAAAATTATCCCTATAAACGATATATTCAAAATATAATTCACAGTAATTTCAAAAGCTTCATATACAGCAGTCGAAAACAGTTTTATTTAGCAGCAAAAACTTTTATCTGGACTAAAACAGTTATTTGCAAGTAACTAACCGTCGCAAACTCTTGGCAAAACGTAGAGCCATACACTTCAGCCCGGTGAAACTGTCGACCGGCGGTAGAGCGCACGGACCAATATCTGCCATACCTGGCGGGAAACCCGCTATGGGCCCATGACCCGCAGTGGTCCATTTGCCCCATGTTACCCTACCTCTCAAATTAACTCGTGAATACAATACGCAAGTTCATTGTAGCATGAGCCCAGTAAAGAAAATACCGTGTCGTACCGATCTTCTGGTGGTCGCACTTGCTTAATTCTCTAAGGTCGCACATCGTTAGAATTAAGCAAGCTATTCTTAATCAATTTCGTAATGTTATTTTGTTCATCCTATTAATAAATAATCCTTTCAATCGGTATATAACCATAGAACTTCATAAAATCCTATGTTAAATATATTTTATGAGTAGGATTTTATTAAGTTATATTCTGTTATTTCCCATTATCCTTCAGTGGGAAGCCCACGAAGCCCTTGTCCTGAAAGTGGCTTGGAACCCCAACACCGGTCTCATCGTGTCGTGGGGGGGAGATAAACGCTATAAAGTGTGGGATCGCGACGGCCGGCAGCTGTACACATCAGCGCCCCTCTACCCCAACATCACTGCACTCGCCTGGGCAGCGGACGGGCAGCTCTTCGTCATGGGGTCGTACAACGCAATCAGACTCTGCGACAAGAATGGAGTGAGTGCGTAACTGTAAGGGAGCTTGTGATGATTTTTGAAGACTGATTAAAATGAATCTGTCATCGCTTCGGACTTAGGTTCATTCTTGAAGTTGTAGTTTCCTGCAAAGAATAGTAGGTCAATTGGTGAAAAAGAAAGGGATTAGTATATATTATATTTTTGGTCGTTTATTTACTTCCTATGATTAATTTTTAAATTTCTGCCTGCTTCACAAATGATTATATGACAAGACGGTCAGGACCTGCCTGAGGATCATCATATCAGATGATGAGAGGTTTTATGGAGAGTACCATTAAGATATACGATAAAAAATGGATCCTCAATGAATTTTCCACAGATGACAATTATTAATTGTCATGAACTTGAACGATAAGTACCAGTAGATCCGCAAAAACGCTAGTATGACCGATGGAAATCAGAGCATGTCTAAACCACTTCTAGTCCTATTTTATATTAAACAACTATTAATCCTGTCCAATATCTAGTCGGATGAAAAATTGTTATGCGGATATTTTTCGTCCCATATACAGTGGTGCCACTCTCAGCATCAGCCAGCTTGCGGTAGCCTCTTCAACTTGGCCTGGTCGAACGATGGCACTGGCAGTCTTTTTGCCGGTGCCGGGGAGAACGGTCACGTGTTCGTTGCTCGCGTCATTGAAAAGTGAGACGCTTAATCAGCACAAGTAATTTCTACCATTTTCAAAACCAAGTATTTGATAAAGAGTTCATTTTTTCTGTGGTTTCAAAATGTATAGAAGTGTAATTTTTCTCCGAACTAATTTGAATGTAAAGCGAATGGATAGTGTGAAATAGCTAGTTAACACGAATTAAGTTTCAATTTCGTCACACCGAAAAAGATGAATTCTTGATTCATAACTGACGATGAACTGCTAAAAAATTTCCGTCCCACCTGATTGCTCTAATATAGTAGTCCTGGATAGAGCTAGAGAAGGGTGAAATATAACATAACATAGTGATCTCGGCGCTTAAGGGGACCGGCTACCCTCCAGAACAACTTCTACAGTTATTATCCGATCATCATGAAACTTCACATACATACGTAAAATGCAAAAAAATAACATTTTGCTCATACGAATTTTTCGAAAAAATTGATAGAAAACGTGAAATTCATGGAAAACGGCTAAAAAGGGGTACTTTAGAAAATCTATCTCCTCCTACAAATATCATCCTACAACATCGAGACACGTATCATTCGATTCGTAAAGACCATACCTATCGATTTGATGATCATTTTCCTCATTTTCCCCATAGTTTTTTTATGCGCGTTTTTTCCATTTTCTCATTTTTTCTCATTTTCCCCCCTACGTAAAAGAGTCGTAACGTAGCCTAGATACCGTAACTAAGCCTCAAACCAAGTCAGCAAGGCATAGAGCGACTGGCTGCATACCTCTCATCTCGCTGTCATGATGGGCACTGACTGCTTTGGCGACAGCAGGCTGTATTTATAGTCCCGCCCTCCAATTACGACCATAGGAATTAGTTAAGGCCGCCCAATACCACCCCCGGTTCCACGGCGTGTCGTGTACGTAAAAATGTACGTAGAAAGATGGTTCTGGTACCGTTCGACGTGTCAGAAAGTAAGCTTTAAGATGAGTATAAGCACCGGATAATGCCATAATTGGCCGCTTTACGTCAGACGATCCTTTTTAGTGTGTCCAGCCTTCGAATTAATCCCATAGACTTTACTGAAGGGCCCTCAAAACCGCCCCCCTTCAGGGAGCTGTCACGAAATCATTTTTCGACGTAGAGAGATGATTCTGGTACCGTTCGATGCGTCAGAAAGTAAGCTTTAAGATGAGCACAAAAACCGGAAAACGCCATAATTGAAAATTTAGGGGTAGCCGGTCCCCTAAAGTGTAGGCCTGATGTGGCCTGTCGCCGATTCTTTTCCTTTTCGTGCCTTGTTCACAGAAGATCTAAAATCGTGTCATTTGACCGGATCTTTTCATGACTGACGATAGTTTGAAATAGCTACTCGATTTCCACCGGGTTCGATATGGTGCTAGGCATTTCAAATCTGAACATATATTTTTCCATAGCTTTATCTAGTCTGTTCTTGAACGCGTTCATTTTTGGAGCGCCAACTATGTCATCGGGGAGGCTGTTCCACATGTCGGTGATTCGAAGCGAAAAGAAATGTTGGCGCGCGGAGAAGTTGCAGCGCAGTTTTTTTCGTTTATAGCCGTGGCCCCTGGTGTTGGTTCTTGTTTCAAATTCTAGTAATCCTTCGTGGACCTTGTATAAACCATGAATACACTTGTATACTTCAATGAGGTCCCCACGCAGACGTCGATAACTGGGGCTTGGAAGCTTCATAATCTTCAATCTTTCTTCATATGACTTGCCCTTCAAGCCTGGAATTGAGGGGTTTATCGTACTGAGGTGGTTATTGAGTTAGCTGGCGATTTAATTGTTTGGTAGTTACTTCCTAATATGAACTGGTCCTCACAACGCATTGTCTTGGAAGACATGAAACTGGACCAATACTTTTAAAAATATTAATGTGCTCACAAACGGTGAAAGTTTTAGCCGACAGTATCAGCTGCAAATACGTTAAACTTCGAATATCGGATTAATTTAGTCATTAGCGGAAATTGGCTTTGAGCGGTCGCTGGCAGTCAATAAGGACTTATAAGGTGCTTATACTTGGGTAAAGTATTAGAGATAGTATAATAAGCTGCAAGTACTTCCCACTCCCAGTTTAGCCGGTTGAAAGCTTAAGGTGTCTATATACACGAAATTGAAGTAGCGAAAGTATTTGCTGCAAGTATTTCTCAAACCCAGTTTTGTAGGCTGAAAGCTTTTACTCGAGGAAAGTATTATTTCAAAAATATTTCCAGAGGCCGGATTATCAAAACTTAGTAACTTTTCATACCTACGCACAAAAAGATGCGTGTTGCTTAATTAAGTACACCCTAAATTTGGCATTATTAAAACTTGCGTACGCAAGACTTATCTGAAAGCTATAATCAAAAACATCTGGCTAACTGACCAATCTGAGGCTTTGGATTTACTGTTCCTAGCTCCTTTCGACTCGGTGCGCAGTGCGCTTGGATTGAAGTAGGGTGTCTCGTGTCAGCGGCATATGCGATGACTGCCTAGGGTGTATTTGGAGAAATGAGTGGGACGTTATCCAAATAGCAATGCACTTATTGTCGTTGTGATCATTGATCAAAATTTATCGCAATCAGGACAAAAAATTACATTATTCCCATTCAAAATTAGAAGACTTTTTTAGAGAGACCTAGAATTTAAAAAATTATATGAGTTGGAGTTGTGACTGTCACAAAGAGAAAGAAATTTGTATACGGAGCTAGAAAAGTGATTGGCTCGTCAAACTCCGTATAATTTTGAATCAAAAAGGCATGAAGATATTGTTTTAGTGAATGATCATAAAACTCTTGGATATGAATATCAACATTTGCTTGTAAATTATAACACAAGAGGGAAACATATTAGCTTCTGACATGAACTCAATTGAAATTTTTTCCTAAAAGCACAGTTTAACCCGATCCCATATTATACCTATGTCGAATTATTGACAAAATCACAATTCACATTGTTGCTAGTAAATCAATATATTCATATTGCTCCAGCAGACACTCAAAACTTGTACGTAACTCCGCTTACGACACCTCCGAGCAGGCGCAAAGTTACGCAAAACTTCTTGTACGTAGCTTGCCGCGCAAATGTTTTGATTATATCACCGCTAGAGTTACGTCTTCATAGCAGCACTTCCGCAACACGTAAGTGGCTACGTGTACTTAGCAATGTTTTGATAATCTGGGGCCATACTTTCAAAACTCGCTAAGTGAACGTAAGTACTTACGCTCTATTTTCTTGTCTATGATTGGTGGATTTGCTTGTAAGGCCGTCAATGATTGGCTGATGAACTTACGATCTCTTAACTTTATTTGAAAGTATAGGCCCTGGCCCTGTGATTATGTGATACTCAAGTGCCAGTCCGTCGTTACAGGCCGTCGAGTGAGGTGCGCGCACGGTGGAGTATGGAACGTGAAGATAATAGCGAGTCTGAGGAAGCTTTTATAAATAAGAATAAAACAGGATGTGGCATTGTTACAACGTTGCTTAGAAAGTGAAAAACTTTACCGGCCATGGGAGAGTGTAGGTGAGAGTCCTAATAAGGTCTCGTCTTTTGAAGTTTCGAAACACTACTCTCTCAAGTAGTTTTTGTTGGAATATTCATCTTGACGTACATTTTGTTGGAATATTCACCGTGACGTACACAGTAGATCATACTTTTGGAATGCCAAAAGAATAGTTCAATATCATCTGAACACCTGTTAACGTTCTTAGAACCGTCGTCTTTGGGACAAGAAATAGTTCATAACATTAAGAGCATTTGCCGCAAGCAAAATAAAGAGCGGCTGCTACATCGGACAGCCCAACTGGTGTTGCTTTTCGGCACAAAAACAAGCTCACTGCGACAGATGTATGCCATCAGCTATTGCCTCCGTTCTGAAGAATAAATCAGCACAATTTTTGAAGTGTGAAGTACTTGCATTTAATGCAGCTAATATTATCCTAGTGTATAAGTACCTGAATAGTTTCCTCGCGTGTAAGCTTTCAGTCGGTAAAATTAGAAGGTGAAAGCATTTGCCGCCGATGCAATCAGCTAAGACTTTACCTCTGTATAAAGTGGATGGTATAATCTCATCAAGACAAGAGATTATACCAACTTTTTATATCAAAGTTTTTTTTATGGTTTTATGGTTGTGATTTTTCCTTTTTTAACATCCAACAGTAGTCTGCCAACTTATTAACATTACATCGGCCATTGGTATCTACGCTCCATTCATTTTATATCTTGAAGGAAATGTTCTCCTTGTTCCTCACGTACAGCTCAAAGATTTTCTGGAAAGTAGTCCACATGTGGGCGTACTATAAAGGGACTTGGACACGCATGTTGCATCCAACGTTCTGTAGTTTTGTAACCATTCAGCAATTAAATTTTCGTATTTTGTTTTTTTTTTTCTTTCCGAAAAGGTCTGTTACATCTAGTTTAAACGCATTTGAGGCAGTAATTTCTTCCATTTCTATTTTTGAGGCAAAGATTGCACCTTTTAAAGTTTTTCATATGTCAGGCCTAACTAAGACTTCCTCTTTCACAAAGATACTTTAAATACTCTTCTTCTTTGTTTAATGTTTTCACAAAGTCTTTCATAAATCCCAATTTGATATGTAGTGGTGGAAGTAAGATTTCCTTGGGATCAACTAAACAATATATTTAAAAAGTTTTATAAGAGGTATAATTAAGAGCTTTTCTGATTGGCTACGTCGCAGAGGTAACAATGATAATTTTTGATGACGTCTTTGTTGACCTATCAGTAGTAACATGGAAATAATTTTACAATCCCCTCAAATGGTCCATTGCTGACCAGAGTAGATAATTTTTCAAAAACAAACTAAATACATCACTATTATTAAGGGAATTAACTAGAATGAGATAGAATGAAATATGTTCGTAAATATCATTCATACAAAAACTGTTTAGCAACCTGTTCACATTGAATAAATCAACACTTTGACTAAATTGACCACTTATACGAACATAATTTTGGAAAATTATGCGAATCCTGAACTTGAATGTACATGAAAATAGGCAATTTTCTGGTGAAATTTGTGACTTGTCTAAGACTGATGGAATTTTTTCGCAATTTTTACCGTAATCAGCATAAGAAATACTGTCAAATCCACCTGTCAAGTATGAAATTATTTTTTATCGTAAAACCTGTGTTATTGGTGTTTATCGAAAATTTCATTGTTTGTCCCAACATGACCTGATGGTTGCATTTATATGATTGTCATTATACATTTCTAGTTGGTGCCTAACGATTGTTCCAGTGTTTCCTGTTAGTCGAATGTATAAGGTTAAATTTTCAGTTATTTATCTCAAAACTTTAATATGAGGTCACTAATCTTGTGCCCAAACCGGTTACTGAGTCTTTTCGAAATGTTGACTGAATAACATGACTTACAAGCCATGTTTGAAAAGTCTCATCACTGACAATTTTCAAGATGTTCATTGCATAACATGGCTTATGGTTTTGATCACAGGATTTTTATGCCGGTTTCTCTTCCATTACATTGATCACATATGCAAGATGAAGATTATGCATCGACTCAAGAAATTTTTATTGCCTGAAAGAATTTTGTGGATATGTGACTTTAATTGAGTGCTCTGTACAGATGGGCAGCAACTCCCAAAGATGAGGTCAGGCTCCACAGCTGCACCAGAATTGAAGATCCCACCGAAGATGTTGATTTTCATTATCTTGTTGAAAAACGAAATGACTTGGTTCGCAAGTATGCATGCCAGGAGTCGGAGGAAGGCAAGTGGATATTGTTTTTCAAAACTGCGAAATTTTTTTCTGCATGGAAGCACGCCTGCTCTCTCTACAGAACTGGAAAACTTGAAGGAGTAACCCACATGTACGCATCAACTTCCAGAGCCAACCCTCGCACAAATGATAATCGTGATATGCAGGTGATACTTTTCAAATGCGGACCGTACAACGACCAGGATTTGATGTTACGTTACGGCAGGAACATTGTCGAACTCTTAAGGTACACCAATGCTACAGGACATATCCCCTACAAAACCGACAAGCAATCTGAATCAGGCACTCGAGCGACTGGCTGCAAAAAGAACCACTTGTACATGCTTCCTGTGGCGCAGAGATGGAGCGAGTACGAGCAGACTGGGAGACACAGCTTCTGGAGGTATCTATTTAGTCAACAAATTATCTATGTTTCAATCTTTTTTAATTAAAACAGTATCCAAGTTTAGGTGTACTATAATCCCTATGAGATAATTAATGATGATAATGTGAAGATATCAACTTGAATGAATGAATCAAACTTGCATGAATGCAGAGTGAGTAGCATTGACATCATCACGGTGCAATGGTGTCAATCTTCAACATAATTTCCAACTGTTCATTATATATTTATTTTTCTTCAGCAGGGACCGTGAAATTTTTAATCCTGAATGTGAAAACTGGCGACAAAAGCAAACTAGAAGCGATCTCGAATCCTGGAGGTCAGCTGGAAACAACATGTAACAGCCGAAAAATACAGACCTATCACCGGGATTATCGAGATTCGACACTCACTGAATATAGAACCTGAGGATTTCTACAATTTCGATAAGAATTCACTCGAAAAGCTATGACAGGAGCAGACGATGGTTTGGCAGGTAAACTTATTGTCAAATGTTGGACTTATCAAACGGCAACTTAAAAATCTGCTATAAAAGGGGACGCAAAACCTTGCTTAAACTGAAGATAAATGAATTAGATTCATATTAACAGTTTACTCGAACTCTTCTCTATCTACTGTCGGTCAGGAAAGGCTTAAATTTAACAACACCCAGGGCATCAACGCATGATGAGTGGCAGTGAACACAGAGTAATCACTGTGTTTATTGTTGAATTGTAATAAAAATGTTGTTAGCTGCTTGTGAAATTAAAAGTTCGCTCACATTCTTTACATCTCGAAGCTAAGCCTCCTGTCCTGAAAACCCTGTAATGCCGTATAACAGGCTCGAGTGGTAAAATGTAGTGATAGATTAACTGTTGACAATTGCTTTCGCTCTGGAAAAACAGGTAATTTCCGGGATAAACCGTTTTCTGAGATGAACACATCACATTATTATGAAAGAAATTCCTTCAAAGTTTGTTCATGCTGTGCATAACTAATTTTCACGATTCATGCTGTGCATGAACCAATTACTAGATGAAATACATTCCATCTGAATTAACAAATTAATTCCTTCTATTAACATTAATGCGAAAAGAAGTGAATAATTAAAAAAATTCCTCCTCATCGGTCCTACATAATATGAGAGCGATGAGAGGAGACGAAGTCTATTCACGCATTTCTTTTCATATAAATAAAGAGAAAATCATGATACAGCATTGACTGACTAAATCCTTTTCATGTATGATATAATAGTCAGACTGCAACATGAGCAGCAGTGAAAAACCTGGCTTCCGTTGGAGCAACGTTATAAAAAGCCTCAATGTCCGGATACTTTCGGGAGTCAATATGTCAACGAAGTCTTTCCTATGACATTCGTTGATTAATTTATTATTAGACGAACTGTAAGATTATTGCTGAGGTCCGATAGATTTTTATTATTGTCCATGTGCAATAGCAGGAGAATGAGATACCGTCAACAGTAGTTGAGAAGATATAGTTAAGGACACGAACGCTAGTAGGACAAGCGAGGGCCGGAGACAATGGACATGGTGGATGCGTCTAAAAGGTTAGGCTGCGTGAGCTTGAATATCTTAAGTATAGACGATTACTACAATGACGTCACGAAGGGTGACAAGATACTATTGACAGCATAGGTGGTAATGTTTGAAACAAGTCGCTTGACATGATATAATAGCGTTCCTATATTATATCTTTATCTACTGAATGTAACTAGTGACCAGGCATTCCCGTATAGTATACTAATGTGGATAATTCACGTTATTGAATATGTCCGTAGACTGTGGGTTTAATCTTTATCTACTGAATGTAACTCTAGTCACGCTGGCATTCCCGTACTAATATAGATAATTCACGACGGTGAATGTATCCTTAGACATTGAGTTAAATCTTTATCTACTGAATGTTAGCGCTATTATTGGAAAGTGATGAAGGAGCTCATCAAGTTGTTATCTTGAGGAATAAATAATAATTGCTCTGTTTATTCCTACCGAAAATAATCAATTATAGCTTTTGGACTAAGAGGTCTTGCTAGAAAGCGAAATTGATTGCTTGGAACTCACGGATCTGAGTCTTTTTTCTACTGATAAAACCACCTTTTGAATGCACTTGTAATCTAATGGTCTGGTGTCTGTGTGTTGTTGTAATAGGAAGGTTAAGCACCACTGTGTTGCATCATTGACGGTCTCCTAAAATTTGAAGTAATAAGTTTTTGTGAACTCAAGCTCGGGAGCTGATGCTGGATTTGTTTCACAGGTTTTAGTGAGAACTTATCTACATAGTAATTAAAGAAGTGCCTACAGAGAGGCCATGATAAGAAAAGGCATCATTCCTCGCTTTCAAGAATTGAAAGATTCGTTTAGCCGCGAATGGTAGAATAGAAATAATAAATTTAACTTTATTATAACTCGTACTCGTTACAGAGACGCCGAAAAGATAGAAATCTAATCTCACAGAAGTTTTAAGTGCAATCAAACTCCTCAAAGCAGATGATTGAAGTTTTAAATTTTTTTTTTATATTTTAAGTGAACTCTGAATTTCGAAATTTATAATGAAACTTAGCTAAGCATTCACTGCGCTCAAAATAAACAATCGATGATTTGTTTCCAAATATGACCCCCCAAATAAATGTAAAGATTCCTCTCTGATCTCTTACAGAAATATACATTTTTTAACCGTCAGTAAAATTATGCCCTGCTCATTTGGCCAAATTTCGTTCATAGTTTTTATCGTTTCTTATAACTTGTCAGCGATGTTATCAGTGAATTGCAATCAATATGCAGCCAGGGCATCATATTAATTTTAAAATAAATCTTTATTTACATGTGGACCCGAAACGTGGAGGTTTATCGTCATACTGCTGCATGAGAGTCAGCCTTTTCCTGACAGTAAAACAATAGGTCTTGTATAACTCTATTATCTAACACTCAGGTAAATGAATGGGTTTTATTGTCCAAATAGGGAATAGCGACACATTTCCTTGCCCATTGCACAGCAGGGTTGCCAGACGGTCTTTTTATAATGATATAATATAGAAGTTTCAGCGTTTAGTAGGCCGTAGGCCTGTTGCCGATTCTTAACATTGCAGAACATTCACAGCATTTTGAGGTCTCGAACTCGCAATTCACTGCTACAATTCACAGCTGTGCTTAATCACCCGGCCTCCTCGCCGATCTTGACTAGAAACTGGCGTACATAGCTGGAATCGAACCTGCACCTCTCTGCTCCAATCCTGGTACTCTGAACTGTGGGACGACAGAAATAGCCCGCATTGCCCAATACCAGCATAATTTTCATACTTCACCCCGTGCGCGAGCATGCTGCACAGCAAATTAGCCAACATGATTATTTGCTGAAAGCCACAGGGACTAAATCCCTTCTTGGATGTAAACCAGCGAGCCAATGAGCTGCAAGCCGCCAAAACAATGGTTGACCCTGTGGCTTACGGCATTTGTAAGAAGTGATGGTATGGGCTTAAATCGGGTGTAGGAGCTATTGGGCGTAATCCGTTTGGAGTATCAGCTTGTGGGCTGAGGCATTGCTTGTTTCAAGCTGGTGTGGCGAGATGAGGCAAGTAAGAACAGCTGTATAGGTGTTAGGCTGACTATTTCTATTGCATGTAGAGGGTTGGCATTGGCTCTTGGGCTGATTTAAGAGTCAAATTTTTGGGCTACGGCAGCGCTCCCGTCAGAAGAAGAGGAAACGCAAAGCTACAGACCCCACTGAGGAATTGGTGAAATTAGCTTCCAAACGACTTAAAGAACCGCATGAAGATAGCGACAAAATTGCTGCAGCTTGGGCAGTCGAGTTATGGAAAATGGATCCCCAACAACAGTTGTTTGCAAAGGCTATCAACGATATTCTTCTTGAGGGTCAAATGGGAACATGGACTCGCAATTCAGTGGAAATTAACGTGTCACGTACGTCCACCCCATTCAGTGTTCAATCCCTCCCTGCAATACCCATCAATATGTCTTCATTGCTTCAATACACTTCTGCAGGCACCTCATCACAGGAGCTAGATACATATTTCGCTACTTTTCAGTAAGACACTTTTTCCCGAATTCGTGATGGACTTCATTCTCCAAAAAATCTCACATATTTTTCTTCCTAATGTAGTGTGATTTTTTTCAATAGAAGGTTCTAACTAAAATGACAAAATTACTTACTTACCTTAATGTTGATTCTTTGAGGCAGTTGATCAGAGCGGTGCAAGTTTCCATAACAATGTTAGATATGGACTGAGGTGACACTGCAGTTAGAAATTTAAGATCTTCGAAGCTATTCCCAGTAGCTAGATAGCGGAGGATTATGGACAAACGTTGGGTTGTAGGAATAGCATCGCGCATGAGAGAGCTCCTTTTACCGAATGCAGGAGTAACCAAAGCAAGGAGTTCGTCAAAAAGTTCCCCATCTATTCGTACAAAATTTCAGAAATCATTAGGTTCAATCATTCTCAATTCATTAAGTAATTTTTCGTGGGTGAACTTCTCTCTGTTGATAAACCACTGTTTCGACAATTTTCTACCTTTATTGCAAGCCTCTCTTACTTTTTTTACGACTTGCTGACACAGCAATTATTACGCAGCACAAGTCATTATCGTTCAACATGTTGGCTACGTGAAGGTCTGGCTGGCACTGTTTGCGCAGTACGGTTGCACCTCTGGGGGCGTAATTGCACAATATATTGCGCAACCCGTCAATATGGCCCCTACATGCTCAGTAATATTGCGCAACCCAAAATATTGAACAATAATATTGAGCGTCTAGGAGCTGCCGTCAATATATTGTGCAAACCATATTGCGCAATAATATTGAGCGTCTAGAAGGCTCTTTATACAGTAAATTTGCAGTAAGTCAGAAAATACCAGATTTAGGCAAATATACCAGATCTAAATATTAATACCAGACACCTTCTTAAAATACCAGGTTTGGTAAATATGGTATAGAAACATATCATCTGGCAACGCTGGATCAGACGTTTACGCACGGCCCTACTACGCCTCAGCTGCGTCAAGCCAACCTCGCTCTTTTCCGAATCGGACATCGCGGCAAATTATAAGTTCTAGCTGCAGGGTGCGTACCGGTCATGGAAAACCTGGAAAGTAATGGAATTTGATTTTTCATTTTCCAGGCCTGAAAAGTCATGAAATTTCATTTCAGGTTATGGAAAGTCATGAAATTTGCAAATACAATTGTAAATGAATAGAAAATGAAGTGTTTTTCTGTGCTGCGTGTGTTGACACATTGATGACGAGCGGTTCCATTTGGAACCAGCGGAGGAAAATGGATTCATAATAAAATTGTAAGATAAAATAAATATACAAGCGGATGCGTAGGTTTGATACACATCTTGCACATGTTTGGGCAAAGTTTGGTTCTGCTGCGCCGACTTCTCTCTTTTCAGTTAGCATTCATAGATTACTAGAGCTCTGGGGCCATACTTTCAAAACTCGCTAAGTGAACGTAAGTACTTACGCTCAGGGCTCCCAGCGCTGGATTTTTCCACCCAGATCTGGGTTTTTTGGAAGTCACCTGGGTGTCTGGGTGTATTTTTCTTTTAAATGGCAAAATCTGTTTTTTTTTTCATTAAGTAAGTTAATTTTAGCCAATAATATAATTGAAAATATTCTCAATGCCTTAAATTTGATTATGCAGTCAATACACAATGAATGTAGCAACGCACTAACCGTCAGGCTGTATATTTTCCCTAGCTGAGAGATGGTACTGGTATTGTACGCGTGCATTCCCAGTATTGAACGCGATCATTACCAGTCAAAGCAACGGACCAGTCAAAGCAACGGTTCCCAATTTCTCGTCGCACACTTCACAGTACCGCGCTCCCTATTGACAAGTGATAGTTGTGTCGTGCGTTAAGTTTTAATGTTGCTAATGTACCTATCGGTGCTGTTATATTAACATATACTGTAGTGAACAGTGAAGGCCCCGAAAACGGCAAGTCCCTCTAGAAAAGTAGCAAAAAGTACAAACAGTCTTTTAAAGAAGAGTTGTTCCATAAAAAAGACTTTAGGGAGTGGCTGCAAGAAGATTCGAAAGAAAAAGGTGTTTCCTATTGCGCATGTTGTAAAACTCAAATCAAAAATGCTAATAGATCCATGTTGATGGCACATTGTAAGACTGCGAAGCATTCCAACAACATGAAAGAAGCTAAAGCAGCTACTAAAATAATTATTGATTCATTTATTAAGAAACAGATTCCCAAGGAGAGTGATGAAGTTGCAAAGGCAGAATTACTTGTATCTGCTTATATTGCTGAACACAATGTGCCATTCGCGTATGCATATCATCTAGTGGAAGTGTGCAAGAGAGCATTTCATGATAGCAGCATTGCTAAAAATGTAAAACTTCATGCAACAAAAGCTTCATATCTTATTCAGTAAGGAATTGCTTATCATGAAAAATGGGAAATTGTTGATCAGTTTAGAAATGAAAAGTTCAATCTGATAGTCGATGAGAGCACAGATATATCCGTTTCACAGGTATTAGCTATTGTCGTTAGATATTTTGATGTTGAAAAAAATGATGTATGTGATAGTTTGCTCGACTCGATTGTTGTTGAAGATGGAAGTGCCCGTGGTTTATACAACGCTGTTAAAACGACTCTGAATGCGAAATTTTTTTTTCAAACATTATTGGATTTGGAAGCTATAATTGTTCTACTATGATGGGCAACAAGAGTGGCTTTCAAATCCTTTTGAAGAAAGACATTCCATCAGTTTTTGTTATGGGTTGCGTATGCCGTTCTTTTGCTCTTTTTTATGCCGTTCTTTTGCTCTTTGCGCAAGTCACGCTGTGAAAATGTTGCCATCCTATCTCGAATCATTTTTAAAGAATATTACCTTCTATTTTTCCCTTAAATCTCCTAATATTTATAGCAAGATGATGTCACGGGCTGGTTACCGACGGATGGCTTAATCCGCGGCTGATTGGTGGTCATCCGGAAATATGCTAGGCGTTCCGTTCAGGGCTGATTGGTGCACAAATGTGGTGGTGCACGACTGCGTACCCGAAGTCAGGAGGAAACGATAAGCGCGATATCATATGGAACTTCACTGCAGTAGAATACGCAGATATAAGTTTTGTTTCGAACATTAAAGTCGAGAACACAATATTGAATATCAAATGAATGAGTCACTGTTTCAGGTGAGTCTTCCACTCTCTCTCTCTCTCTCTCGAATTCTCACTATATATTGCCAGGTGGTAATAGAACGTAATAATTAAAGCAGACCAGCTGCTCAAATAAACTGAAGCGGCAGGGCTGAAGACCAACTTGCCAGTAGAGGCGGTTGGGCGGATTCCTATCTGAGTGGAACAAGTAAAAAGGTTTTTAAGCCTATAAATAACGAATTCAAGGTATAACGCAATGGATTTCAGTATTGTGCTCAAATAAAATCAGAACAACACTTGCAAACTCGTCAAAATAACTAACCTATTTGTTTCCGCTGAGGAACCTTAGGCAAGAGTTCTCATGTAGAGAACTATAAGAATGAAAATCGTATAAGGATTGTTCGCTCGTACTTGAATAGTTAGATGAATGCAAGTTAATTCACAGCACTTGACCACACCAGGCTGAACTCCAAAGCTCCAAGGAGCCAACAACCCAACGGGTTTCAATGACTGGCGTGAAGCCAGTACAATAAGATCTTAACCGAGCGAACACAGAAGTGTTAACTTGCATTAAATGGAACAAAATGAAAACACACTCGCTCAAACTTAAACTGAGTGAAAGAACAGCAAGATTCAACACAAGTAGTAATACGGTTTGAGCAGGACGACTTCACAAAGGTAAGGATAAGGTAATGAATGATAAACACGATTGAGCTAATGAGCGTCGACTATGTCTCCTAAAGCGAGACAAACAATAAACGTATAAACAATACTGACGAAATTAGATAATAAATTTTAACAAGTTGAGTCGATCTTTACTTTCTCGTTGCAACAATGTCATCTCATACTGTAATTTTGCTGTTCAGGGTTCTTCCCGAGGTGAAGAACTTTACACTTGCCAGCGTGTGTGTGTGTGTGCGGTGCCACTAGGAAAAGGTGCCTGTACACAGGGATAGTACTAACCGCTAGTTCATCCGGCGCTTGAACTGTCCACGCTACTAGCCTCGTGTATAGAAGTTCAGCCGCTTCAGAGGCATGCGCCGGCAAGTGCCCGAGGCGCGGCCGAGAGAGACAACGATGTGTTGATATCTTGGCTGGAGAAGTGGCTAGTAGCGCTGATGCAGCCATGGTGAGAGTATCTGTGCCGCTCCTGTGAAGTATCTTGGGTCATTCATGGCAAACATTCCACTTTAATTCATATTTTTGGAATATATCAAAGAATAATTAAATATCGTGTGGAATCCACTTTGTTGGATTCCTCTTAGAAACATTATCGTTCAAACAAGCCATGATTCGCTTGACCCAAGATACTTCACAAGAGCCGCACAAATGCTCTCACCATGGCAGCATCAGCGCTACTAGCCACTTCTCCAGCGCAGAAGTCAACATCGTTGTCCTTGTACTACTACCCCTGTGTACAGGCACCTTTACAAACAACACTTGTCAGACTGACAGGGCGATAGTTACCGGGGCCACTTTTACCTTTTTGAACAATGGTGTTACTTGAGCTTCTTTCCAATCGGTCGGCAAAGATCCTTCATTCAAGTTTTTTTTAAAGAATACTGTCAATGGGTCGGCCAGGACGGTTGCTAATTCTTTGAACAATCTAGGGTGGAAGCCGTCTGGTCCGCATGACTTGTTGGGATTTAGAGCGACTCTTTCCTAATCAAGGATAGGCAAGCGGAAATCTAGAATGAAATATCTCCAGCGGTGTTCAGTAGACCTGTTATTCAAGTTACGCGACGTCATTTCGACGTACGCTGAGACGATCGATGCACACTGAGTTCAAGTACAAGTTGCTTATGAAATTATCTATCTCACACTCTCCACAGTTTCTCCATAACGTTTATTAATTTTCATCGATCCGCTACATTTCTGCCTAAAATTCTTATTTTTTAATCACTTATGTGCTTCAAATTTCACCTCGTCGGCCAGTAATTGCGAATACAAACTATCAATAAATAATGATACGTTAAGCCAATTCAGGCTCCTGGTGAATGGCAGCGGTGACTACGTACTACGTTGAATATGTACTTTCTTTGCACTGTCAACTTAAGGTTCTTGAGGGGAAAGCAGTCCTGAAGAAATTCCATGTTTAAACACGAAAAATTTACATCATGTCAAGATTTTGACAATTCAGTAATCTTCTAGCGATAAAAAAAACATTGGCTTGCACAATAATCAAGAGCTCCCACTTGAATGCCCGTAAACAATTAAAACTTAATTACCTGTTCAACTCTTTTTCACTGTTAATATGATCTTTCGATTAAAAATAATACAAATGAGATTTGACCAACTAAAATTTTGACAAATTTCAGTTGGTCAAATTCAGTAAAAGCTTAGTTCAGAATGTCTTTATTCCAGGCCTCTAATTTGTGTAAAGATAAGGAATATATTCCAAAACAGAACGTGTTATGAGCCTAATGCAGTTAACTGATCTTGATTCAGAATACGCGCCCCGATCACTCACATTTACATGACTGGCAAGTCCTCCATAGCAACCACAATTCCATACAAAGTTTTCCAACTTTTCAATCGGTAACTCAAATTTCATTAGGACTTCGCTTAATTTGAAATAAACATATTCTGCTCGGACACATGTTTTCAAGAACATTAAACAACTCGAATTACTGCCTTTACCAACAGGAATGCCCGGGTTTGTCAGGCGTGTTTATCGGTGACCATGACGTCGCCCCAATGCTGGCAGTGGCGAGCGATCTTGCCCCTCGTCAGGGTGTGTGGTGTTCAGAAATGCCAGGGAGCATTCATATTTCAATTATTATCTGTACATAATATTTCACGTAACTTTACAAAAGAGTTTTAGGTTAGATGAAAGAAACATATGATCGCGCTCATTCTACTTACACATGCAAGGCCTGATGCAGTGGCATCATGTATAACGAGAATTTACAAAACCCTGTCACTAATACTTTAGTGGTTATTTGTCTTTCTACTTTAAATTTCATCCCTATAAATTTAAATTAATGTTCATATAGTTTGGAATCTTGAGAGAGCAAGTGGACTGATTTATCACGCTACAACTTCGATCCTATGTAAAGTTAAGCGCATTTCCTGGTTATTTATATATACGTCTAATAAATACTTCGAATTCATTCACGATATTTATGTGCTGCTGAAATTGTTCATATTGCACATGTATAAACCGTAGTTGACGGCCACTCGTACTTCGAATCGCATCTTCGGAAAGTCAGTTCATACTTGATGTTACAAACGCGACTGAGAGACTTTTTCACGGCTGATCGATCAATGCGCTATTGTTAGCATTGATTATTGATCGAGCAATTACGCCTAGCAATCGGTGTAAGTCTGCTAACTCGGACAAGTTAACGACCGGTGGGAGTTGCGAAGTTTATTAATGCAAGACACAATTGAATGGCCTATTGATTTTGAATGGAAAAGCGTCCAAATCTCAACATTTACAAGACATAAATAATTATCAGGAATTTAAAAGTAAAGAAAATAGCCAAAAATTTCACCATTTCTTATAAGAGAAAACGTTTCGGAGTCCAGCTCCATCGTCAGTTCAAAACCTAGAACACATGCAGGTACAAACAATTAGTGACCTAAAATTCACATTCAAACAATTCACCTAAACTTGAGGACATTAGAACTAAAATCGAAGATAACAGAAATAAAAATGAGATGACATGTAGAGAAAGTACTATCTATTTACAATTTGTAGAGGATAGGAACTGATAAAAAATTATCAAATAATTAAATAATTATCAGTGAGGCGATAATTTTACTTCTGGCGATGATCAAACTCTAGGTCTTCAGGAATTCGCCAGTTTTTTTCACTTTATTTGCGCAGGAAAGTTGGCTAAAAAAAATATTTTGGTTAATATAACGGGTCATAACTCCGTTCCACTGAAACGTTCAATGTAATACGATGAATAACTGACAGGCTCAGCGAGGTCTGAAGTATGCCAGACATGTTTTGGTTATTATATAAATACTTCTTCGATTTTAAGGGGAGCGTCTGGGTTAAGAAAAACTCTTTTATTTACGGACGGATTGTTTTGAAAGTTGGTACACATATGTAAAACAGAAATCTAAGACTTTTTTGTTCGTGAAAACTTTTCGAAAAAATGAAAGAAAATGTGAAATTCATAGAAACGGCAAAAAATGGGGTACTGTAAAAATCTGTCTCCTAATTCAATTAACGTGCTACAACATCGAGAGACATATAATTCGATTTGTAAAGACCATATCAGCGATTATCCGGTCAATTTTTAATTATGTCTGATTTTTTCAATTTCCCCCTCCCCCGCTTTTCAATGTACCTATAATCCAAACTATAACGAAATCGTAAAAAGGGATCGGTTGATCGCTAGATATTTTTTTACAAATTTAATGGTATATCTCTCAATGCTCTAGCTTGAAAATCATAGGAGATAGATTTTTAAGATTGCTTATTTATGAAATTTTAATTGATCAGGGGAGCCACATAAGTATAACTTATTGAAAAAAAAGAATAGGCAGAAAAATTGCTTGATTTGTAGCCCAATCTGTTTCATTGCCAATAAGTTGCATTTAGAGTAACAGCAAGCGTCTTTAGTTTTATTCTTGTCCAGTTTAGCGTGAATAATAAGCATTTACTGTGACTTTCTTGATATTTATATCTATAAAAATGTTCATCTTATATAAGTTTAAATGGCCTAACGCAAAAAACATTGCATGGACATCCGCAGTATTTGCTTTCTTAATTAAACACAATTAAATATTAATTAAATCATTTGTAGCTTTCAAATGAGTGCAAACACCTTGCAATTAACGCGAATCAATCAATCAATAACTACCATTTTTTAAATAAAAAATTTTCAATATTTTAAAATGTTAATTTTGTAAAGGTCAATACAGTCTTATGCATAAATTATTGCACGTACATCCATGTATCAGATTTGTTGACGCGTCTTGTTTGTAGCGTTCAAACGAGCGCACAAACTTTGCAACGAGAATAATAATCTAAAAATACTGATTTAATTAAAGAACTTCTTCTACACATTGTTAAAAAACTATTCATTTTATATATTTTCGAAATTGCTATACGCAAAAACTAGAGCACGCACACATATGCGGTTTGCTGCGTTAGACGCAACTTTTCAGCAGCTACAAAATGAGCAGTGAAAACGAAAAAGCCAAATTTGTCGAGTTTTGACCCTAATTCTCCCATTAATTAATTTTTTACTAATTATATAAACTGCAATTATAATGCCATTATGCTGTACTAACAATTATTAAATTTTACTACTAATACTATAATATTAATAAGCATTAAAACTGGTGACTTATTCAAAGAATTATAACTAGTACTAATAATTAATCATTCTTGCATATCATAACTACCATTATGCTGCTATCATTTCTGCTACAGATGAAATAGCAGACATAGAGTGAACAGTTTACGATGCGGCTTGTTGAAGTCACGCTGCAGGGCAAGCCCCGACACTCAGACGCGGTGTCGTGTGTGGCCTGGGTGACGCCCGACGAGCTCTACTCATGCGGGTGAGCACTAACCTAGGGCCATACATACAAAACTAGCTAAGTGAACGTAAGTACTTGAGCTCTATTTTCTTGTCTATGATTGGTGAATTTGGCTTGAAACGCCGTCAATGATTGGCTGAAGAACTTACGATCTCTTAACTTTTTTTTTTTGAAAGTATAGGACCTGAAGCCGTACTTTCGGGAATATGTTATGACTATGAGTTTGTAACTTCGTCAGCCAATCACTGACGGCTTTTATAGCTAAACCCACCGCCCACAGACGAGAAATGGGCCGTGTACTTAGGATGCTACGTCTACTCAGGCTGCTACGTGTACTCAGGCTGCTACGTGTACTCAGGTTGCTACGTGTACTCAGGTTGCTACATGCACTCAGGTTGCTACGTGCACTCAGGTTGCTACGGGTACTTTTATAGGCCGCACGCGCATTTTAAGCTAGTTTCGCAATCACCGCACAAGCCCAAGATCTCTGAAATACAACTGTGTTCCTAAACATACTTACTTTTTTCGTTTCGTTTGATTAGATATTTTCTTCGTATATTAAACTGGTATATTTTACTTTATGAATAACTAACTAATTTTTGTTAATAGATCGACCGTGAAAGAAAAATAACTTCAAACACTGATTTTTTGGAGTGAAAACAAAAGGTAGAAACGCGACGCAAATCCCTCAATTTTTTACTCATAATTGTATTTTCAAATAAAAAATCTCTATAAGTACAGAAGGTAATGCTCATGTGAGTGTATATAGTGACTTCATAGATTCCGAATGATACTAACGATTCTCTAATATTAACTTCAAGTTAGCTGGACCTGCGATTGCGATTCTTCAATGTGCATTCGTAAACTTCTATTTGTGTTTATCTGCATATGGGCATTGGTTTAAACAATTATCATAACTTTAAATTCCAAGTACAAGATTGGTCTTCTATAAATTAAAATTCTATAAAATTGATTGGACAGCCCAAATTCGAACCTCAACGTTTATGTCGTTTTTCGCGGATCTTGACCCTTGTGAACTGCTGTCTTTTTGTTTAGTGCTTGTTTAATACTAATAATATTAATGTTAAATAAGATTTTTTTTTTTAAATATGCCAGAAACGACCACCAGCTGCTACGTTGGAACGTACCCAGCGGTGAGACGAGCAAAGTCGCTGATCTTCCAGCTGATGTTTTCCCGCTAGAAATGCACGTGAGGCCTCGCAGTGGCGTGCAAGGAGGCAATGCGGAGGCAGAGATCATCTTTCTTATCACAGCGGATGATGGTTTGTAATTTTATCATTTTTTGTCTCTTCTAAATTTTGCAGAAGTAATAAAAGAATGTTCATTGTATTTAATTCGTATTGCTTCGAAAGGAATCGATGTTTAAACTTTTGAAATTCAACTGCTAAATTCCATGAAATGAGCTTCGGTTAGTTTTAGACTTTTAGTATATAGATCTTTAAAAGTAACACTTATTAATGTATTCCTGATCAATGATCTTGATAACATTTCAAATGTAATTGAATGCTTCTTTTCTCTTTTTCAATGTGCTGTTCATGCAACTTACTGTGATCTCTGCCATCCAATGTTATTTTAAAATTTAAATGAAAGCTTTATTGCAAGATAATAAAGAATTATGTAAAATGTGCAAATTAACGTACAAATATAAATAGAAAAAAGAGAAATAGAAATTTAAAAAAATTATATTTCGAACGTTGAATTCTTGTGACGCGAAATTTTCTTTCAGCCAAGTGTTTACAAGCTTCGTTGCTAATGCCCAAAAATTTTCATTACTCAGGCAAGTTTATCTTGTGAGCCCCAAGGGCCACGTTCAGAAAAGTGAGGCAGAAAGTGCATCATTATTTGGACAATGTCTCATTCATTTCTCTGGTTGCAGGCAAGTTTCATCTCGTGAACCGCAAGGGCCACGTAGAGAAGAGCGTTGCTGCCCACCAGGGGGCGGCTCTAACTGGCCGCTGGAATCACGACGGGTCGAGCTTTCTTACTGGTGAGAATATTAGTTGAGTATCCCTTAAATGACCGAAAAAATTCAAAGGTGAAGAGTTCCTTCGCTTTACTAATATAGTTTGGTTTTTTCTTTATTTGATATAAGAAGATTCATAATGATATTAATAGTAAACTGGCAACCTATATAATTATAAAGATATAATTAAAGTCCTTGTTTTTCATCACTGCCTTTACTATCATCCTTCCTCTCAGCATGCTGTGAAACATCGAACCAAGATCATGCCTGCATCATTTTTCATTACGACTTCTAGAGGTCCATGCTCCATATTAACAATATATTTAAGGCGGTGAGGACGGCCTGGTGAAGGTCTGGACGCGTAGTGGCATGCTGAGGTTCTGGCTGAGCAAGAGCTCAGGGTTCGTCTACAGCACCGCCTGGTCCCCTGACTCGGACGCGGTGCTCTACACGTCTGGCACCGCGCTAGTCATCGAGCCTCTGGCACCCAATACCAAGCCAATACAGGTGCAGCATAGTATTTTATTGAAGACTTATTATTACAAGAATTCAGCATTTTTGCTGTGGCACCGCGCCAGTCATCGAACCTCTGGTACCCAAAACCAAGCCCCTACAGGTGCGGGTTAGTATTTTATTGATGATTTATTGTATCAAGAGTTTAGCATTTTTGCTATGGCACCTCGTTAGTCATCGAGCCTCTGCCAACCAACACCAAGCCCATACAGGTGCGGCTTAGTATTTTATTGATGAATTACTGTACCAATAGTTTTGTATTTTTGTTATGGCATCGCACTCGTCAAAGAGCCTCTTGCAGTCAAGCCCACTAACTTGCTGCCCACGGCGGGGGTATGTTGGATCCAGGAAATTGTATGTTTATTCAGTTCGATGTTGTTAACTATCTGGCAATTTAATAATGATTTTGGCGATCAAGTATTGTAGTATTTAGCTATCACTGATGAACTCATGAAAACAATTCGCACGTTCATTGTAACGCCCGGTAAAGAAAAAATGATGTTTCTTTTGGTGCAAGCTCCAAGGTCGCAAATCGTTAGAATTAAGCAAGCTATTCTTCTTAATTAATTTCGTAATGATATTTTGTTTATAACAGCGAATAAGTCTTTCAATCGGTAAGTAACCCTGGAATTTTATAAAAACCCTAGATTTATTTATGTTTTTAGTTTTACAAAAAGAATTTTATAAAATAATGTTCTGTAATTTCCCATCATCCTTCAGTGGGAAGCCCACGAAGCCCTTGTCCTGAAAGTGGCTTGGAACCCCAACACCGGTCTCATCGTGTCGTGGGGGGAAGACGAGCGCTATAAAGTGTGGGATCACGACGGCCGGCAGCTGCACATATCAGCGCCCCGCTACCAAAACATCACTGCACTCGCATGGGCAGCGGACGGGCAGCTCTTCGTCATGGGGTCGTACAACGCACTCATACTCTGCGACAAGAATGGGGTGAGTGCGGAACTGTGAGGGAGCTTGTGATGATTTTTGAAGACTGGTTATGATGAATCGCTTAGATTCATTCCTGAAGTTAAGCCATTTCATGCAAAGAATAGTAGGTCAATCGGTGTGAAAGAAAAGGATTCGTATATATTATATTTTTTGGTCGTTTATTTACTTCATATGATTAATTGTTATATTTCTCCCTGCTTCACAAATTAGTATATGACATAACTGTCAGGAACTGCCTGAGGATAATCTCAGATGCTTAGCTGTTTTACGGAAAATACTATTAAGATATACGATAATAAAATGGATTCTCAATGAATATTCCAGAGATGAAAATTATTAATTGTCTTGAACTAGAACGACAAATAACAGTAGACCCGCAAAAACGCGACTTGTGGTATAGGGCCGATGTAAATTGAAGCATGTCCATACCGCTTCTAGTCCTGTTTTAATTAAAAAACTATCAAACCTGTCCAATGTCTAGTCGGATGAAAAATTGTTATGCGGATATTTTTCGTCCCATTTACAGTGGTGTCACTCTCTGCATCGTCCGGCTTGCGGTAGCCTCCTCAACTTGGCCTGGTCGAACGATGGCAGTCAGGTTGCCGGTGCCGGGGAGAACGGTCACGTGGTCATTGCTCGCGTCATTGAAAAGTGAGACGCTTAATTAACACCGTATTTGTATTCAAAACCAAGTATTTGATAAAGAGTTCGCTTTTTGTATGATTTCAAAATTTACAAAAGTGTAATTTTTCTCCGAACTAATTTGAATGTAAAGCTAATGGATAGTGTGAGATAGCTAGTTATCACAAATACAATTTCAATATTCTCACACCAAAAAAGAAAAATTCTTGACTCATAACTTAAGATGAACTGTTTCAAAATTTCCGCACAACCTGAATGCTCTTATAATGCAGGATAGAGCTAGAGAAGGGTAATATATGAACAGGTTCTCACAACACATTGTATTTGAGAACTGAAACTGGACCAATACTTTAAAACATAATCAAGGTGCTCATGAACGGTGAAAGTTTTAGCCGGCAGTATTAGCTGCAAATACTTTCCATTTTGAATATTGGGCTTATTTTTTCTTTATCGGAGAGCAGCAAGGAGGGGTCACTTGCTCTCAAAAAGAGCTTATAAGGTGCTTATACTAGCAGAAGTATTCGCGATAGTACGTACTGTATATGCTGCAAGTACTTCCCACTGATAGAAATCATCTCTTTTTCAATGTGCTGTTCATGCAAGTTACTGTGAACTTTGCCATCCCCCCATATAAGAATTTCGAACAATTACCAAATTCTATTTTGGACAAGAAATAGTTCCTAACATTAAAAGCATTTGCCTGCAAGGAAAATATAGAACGGCGGCAGCAGCCCAATTGCATTGTGTTGCATCCTGGCACAGAAACAGGCTACGTCTTCAGCTACTCCATCCGTTCTGAAGAATACATCAGCACAAATTTTGAAGTGTGAAGTACTTGTAGTTAACACAGCTAATACTATCCCCGTGTATGAGCACCTATATAATCTCTTCGTGTGTAAGCATTAAGCCCGTAAATTTTGTAAGTGAAAGCATTTGCCGCCGATGCAATCGGATAAATACTCTCATAGCTTCTTTGTTTAATGCTTTCACAAAATGTTTCATAAGCCACAGTTAGATATGTAGTTGTAAGATTTTCTTGATCTCGACTAAACAATGTCTTTAAACAGTTTTAAAAGAAGAATATGAGCCTTTGTGATTGACTATAACGTCGCAAAGGTAACAAAGATAATTTTTGATAACGTCTTTGTTGACCTAGTAATATGGAAATAACTTCATAATCCCCGCAAATGGCACATTGATGACCAAAGTAGATGAGTTTTCAAGAACAAACTAAGGACATCACTATAATTAAGAGAATTAGCAAGATTAAAATAGAATAAAAATAATATGCATTTAAAAGTTTAAAAATTACTTTTTAAATACAACGCTTTTAAAGAGACCAGTGTCTCAAATGTTTCACATCTACAATAAATTTATCATTTTAGTATTGAATAATAATAAATCAAATTATTTTTATTTTTTAATATTAAAATAAAAATTGTCATTTTTTTAAAAAACTCATTAGGTCAATTGATTCGTGCATTGTCTCCGGCTTTACGCAAGTTTACAAAATTTCAGATCAATTGGACAGGTATATATATAGAAATATGTTAAATATCGATTATTAGATTTGTATCAAACAAACAAATTAACAAACAATAAGAAGTGAAGTCAAAGAGATGTGTTGTAATATGTTCGCAACTATTATACACGCAAACATTGTTTAGTAACCTGTTCACATTAAATAAATCAACAATTTAGACTAAATTGACCACTTATACATGCATAATTATGGAAAATTGTACGAATCCTGAACTTGAGTATACATGAAAATAGGTTGTTTTCAGGGGAAGTTTGTGGCTTATCAATGCATGATGTAATTTTTTTTGCTACTTTTACCGTAATGAGAACAAAAATACAGTTAATTTCATTAGTCAAATAAGAAACTATTTTATCGAAGACCTGTGTGGGGTTATCGAAAATTTGTCGTTTCGAAAATTGGTGATTATCGAAAATTTCATTTTATGTCCCAACATGACTCGATGGTTGTATTTATATGGTTGTCATTATACATTTCTAGTTGCTGCCTAACAATTGCTCCAATGTTTCCTGCTAGTCGAATGAATTGTGTTAAATTTTCAGTTATTGACCTTAATCCTTCAACATGAGGTCACTAATCTTGTGCCTAAACCAGTTACTGAGACTTTTGAGACATGTTCCTGAATAACATGACTTTTGTTCTTGATCACAGAATTTTTATGCTGGTTGCGCTTAATTCCATTAGATATATTACAAGAATGAGATAATGCATCGACTATATAGGGTAATTTTTATTGCCTGAACGACTTTCGTGGATATTTAAATTAAATTGTTAATTGTTCTGTACAGATGGGTAGCAACTCCCAAAGATGAGGACAGGCTCCACAACTGCACCAGAATTGAAGACCCCACCAAAGATGTTGATTTTCATTATCTTGTTGAAAAACGAGATGACTTGGTTCGTAAGTATGCTTGCAGTGAATCAATGGGAGGCAAGTGGATATTGTTTTTCAAAACTGAGAAATTTTTTTCTGCATGGAAGCAAGCCTGCTCTCTCTACAGAGCTGGAAAACTTGAAGGAGTAACCTGCATGGCAGCATCAACTTCCAGAGCCAACCCTCGCACTATTAATTGCGATATGAAAAAAGTGATCATTTTTCAGTGCGGACCGTACAACGACCGGGATCTGATGTTACGTTACGGCAGGAACATTGTCGAACTCTTAAGGTACACCAATACTACAGGACCTATCCCCTACAAAACCGACAAGCAATCTGAATCAGGCACTCGAGCGACTGGCTGCAAAAAGAACCACTTGTACATGCTTCCTGTGGCGCAGAGATGGAGCGAGTACGGGCAGACTGGGAGACACAGCTTCTGGAGGTATCTATTTGGTTGGTCAACAAATTATCTATGTTTCAATCATTCTTAATTAAAAACAGTATCGAAGTTTAGGTGTGCTATAATTCTTGTGAGATAATTAATGAAGATAATTTCAGGATATCACTCCAAAGCGAACTTGAATGATTGCAGAGTGAGTTTCATTGACATCATGACTGTGCAATGGTGTATGATCTTCAACATAATTTCATCCTGTTAATTATGTATTTATTTTTCTTCAGCAGGGACCGTGAAATTTTTAATCCTGAATGTGAAAACTGGCGACAAAAGCAAACTAGAAGCGATCGCGAATCCTGTAGGTCAAACGGAAACAACATATAACAGCCGGAAAGATGGGTCCATCGGCCGGGATCGTCGAGCTTCGGCATTCACTGGTTGATAGAACCTGAGGATTTCTAAAATTTCGATAAGAACTTACTCGGAAAACGAGGGCAGGAGTAGACGATGGTTGTTTGGAAACTCATTGTAAAATGCTTGGACTTACGGTAACTGAAAAATCTGCTATAAAGACGGATGCAAAACCTGTTTACATTGAAGATGGATGAATTAGATTCATATTAACAGGTTATTCGAACTCCCTTCTCCGTCAACGCGGACGCAACTCAAGCAGAAAAATGCTTAAATTCATCAATGCTCAGGGCACCATTTGCTGAGTGGCAGTAGACATAGAGTAGTCCCTGTGTTTATTGTTGAACTGTAATAAAGATATTGTTAGCTGCTTGTGAAATTAAAAGTTCGCTCACTTTTTACATCTTGAAGCCAAAAGCTCCTGTCCCTAAAACCCTGTTATGCCTCTGTTGTCTAACAGGCTGACATTCATTGACAGGGACATCCATGAGATTTTTATAACGTCGCTTTAATGGTAGCCAGATTTTTCAGTGCTGCTCATGGTGCAGTCAGACTATTATATCTTACACGAAAAGGATTTAATTATTCAATCCTGTAACTTGATTTCTTTCTTTATTTCTTGGAAAGAAATGCATGCCCAGACTTCCTCTCCTCTCATCGCTCTCATATTATGTCAGGACTGATGAAAAGGACATTTTTCCAATTATTCATTTTTATTCGCATGAATGTTAATAAATGAATTAATTCGTTAATTCAGATGGAATGTATTTTATCCAGATGGATAAAATGAAAGTCATGTACAGCTTTTATCCAGTAGTTTGTTCATGTACACGTACAGCATGAACCGTGAAATTTTATTCATACACAGCATGAACAAACTTTGAAGGGCTTTGTTTCACAATAATGCGATGTGTTCACCTTGAAAAAACTGTTCATCCCGAAAGTTACCAGTTCTTCCCGAGCGAAAGCAATTGTCAACAGTTAATTTATCAGTACGCAAAGGGTTAACCAACGCAAAGAAGTTGTGCGTAACTTTACGCCTGCAGGTGTCTGGTTTAATTAAGTTTTGTTGTAATAGAAGAAGGTTGAGCACCACTGCATTGTTTCATTGACGGTCTCCTCAACTTTGAAAAATGAGTTTTCATGAACTCAAGCAATTGGGATCTGATGTAGGATTTGTATCACAGAATAATTTGAGTGACATAGTAATTGAAGAAGTGCCTACACAAAGTCCAGGGGCCATACTTTCAAAACTCGCTAAGTGAACGTAAGTACTTACGCTCTATTCTCTTATCTTTTATTGGTGGATTTTGTTTGAATTGAAAGGCCGTCAATGATTGGCTGATGAACTTACGGTCTCTTAACTTTTTTTGAAAGTATAGGCCCAGGATAAGAAAAGAGCTTCATCCGTCGCTTTCAATAAACGAAGGTTCGATTAGCCGCAAATGGTAGAATAGAAAAAATAATAAATTTAACTTTATTTTAACACGTATATATACTCGTTATAGAGACGCCGAATAGATAGAGAGCTGATCTCACAAAAGATTTAGTTGAAATAGATCTCCTCAATCTGATATGCCCATTTGCCTGGCCAAACTAAAGTCTAGAACTCTAGATGAACACAGCAGGGGCAGAAAGTGAATGGCAATTTCGACAAAGTCTAATTTGTTTCTTTGAGTGAAACGTGCATGGGTGTAGGACTGGAAGGAACGGTGCTTGTCAACAGGGTACGGAATAGCACAGTACAGTTCCTTTAGTTTAGAAAGTGAAAAAATTTCCAAAAACTATATGCACCTATAACATTAGATTAAAATTAGAGTCAATTTCACTTCCTAACTTTGGACGAGTCATTAAACAAAAAATCCTCAATGCTCAGAGAGTTCACTATAATATGGCCGGAACAACTATTCAGACCGGATAAATATGATCATATTAGCATGTTTTGTGAGCAAGAATTTCTACCAACTCCAAACACAGACGTAGCTATTCCATATTTAAGGTTTTAACCCTAATACGCGTCATTTTTTACTTTTTCCCGCTTGTCTCACATCTATCGAATTATCATGAGTCGCCTCTAGAGTATGTAATAAAGTTGTCGGCTTGACGCCATAACTTAAAAACAATGTAGGTACATGAAAACGGAACAGAATGATATGTTTCTACTGAGTGAAATTTTTGCAAACCATCTGGGCTTAAAATTTGCATAGACTAACGAAAAATTGTAACATCTTGAACGATCTTTCCTAGTTTTACTTTTCAAATGAAATCTCTTGTATTTTATCAAGTAACATTTAGCCTTCATGAGTGGACGGGTTACGAACTAGTTTGTCCGACGTACTGAACCTGTGGAGACCTGCCGCGAGTCCGGCCGTAAAATTGTGCGAGACGTGTCGGTCGAGACACCGGTCCGACACTTCAGCGAACTCGCGTGCGAACTCGAATGCAAAACCTAACTTCATTTTCAACTCTGGCACTCATAAATCCTTTAATAATGAACGGATTTTATTCAAATTTGAAATATAAGTAGATAATATCAGTAATTTGCGGACGGAATTTTTTCTGATTTTTACATCAATAACTTTTTTGTTAATACGGAAAACCTAACTTCATTTTCAACTCTGGCACTCATAAATCCGTCAATAATGAACAGATTTTATTCAAATTTGAAATATATCGCAGCCATCATACAGAATTGGCCAAAATTTACAACGTTTTTAGTAACTGAAACACGTTCCAACGAGGTTGAAACGAGGAGTGGACAGAAGCCAAGCGTTCACGAACGAACTTCTTCCTATGTTTGTGAACAATACACCAGATCTACATTAATTTGCGAACATATTGTAAAAATTATTATCAGTAATCCAACTTTTGTGTTTTAGTTTTATAAATAAATCTACTATACCTTTTTACAGCAATAGTAGATTAGTAGGTGCATCTCCTGCGGCTTACGTTAGTACTGAATTGAACACTCGTTTAGTGTCTCCTATGGTTCCCTACCTACACGGGGTATAAATACGTAGTCTGCGTGCTGCTGCTGTGCTGCACTGTACTGCTTACTCTCATTTATTCTTTCGGTGTAGCTAGTGGCCATAGAAGCTTAGGCTGTGAAAGCTTACATAAGAATCCAGTGGATTGGTGTATTCAGCAGACACAATTTGACGGAAAGAGTGGCAGTCATGTCAACAGTGGATAAGAAAGAGGTGAGTACGTTTGCCAATGTGAACGAGCTGCCGTCGATGGCACACTAGTCGCCACACAACAGATGCTGCACTTAAGTCGCCAATAAAAACCTTATAATGCTGGTCAGAAATACGATTTGTAGGGTTCGATTAACTCATTTAACACATGATAACAACTGAACTGTTTCGACGGTTCGACCTCCTCAGAAAGATGTGATTCAGAGTTTCCTTTTTTATAAAATCGGTCGTTTCTGTTGAAGGCCGGCGACGTTTGAGACATTAAGTGCTGCGGCGGCATAAGTGGCAATAAATGTAACATCATTTAACTAGAGTTATTTCGGCATAACTTGATTATACCTAATATTATAATTTTATCAAGGCCAATCTTGCGTTCTTAGGATTAAATAATTTCCTCTTAAAATTTTTACAACTATATCATATCAATATCATGTTATCTTTTCATAACTAAAGCATTATATTTATATAATAAAGTATACTATATATTATATCGTATAATACGTATTATATTCATATAGTTTTATATTTTAGTTTCCTGAACAACTTGATGACAATGAAATCAGTAGCCCACTGAAGATAGGTACATATACATTCATATAACCTTACTGACACTGACAGCAGGACTGTAGTGTAGGTGATGCGACTGTATCTCGGATAGCCTATCCTTCTCTGCGCATGGAGACTGGAACCTTCAGTTATTTTATTAACATCTGCCGAGTGTTTGGTGAATATTGTTGAGACGTACATCATTGTTTCACTTAAGGAGATGCGTTTTCATCACTCGTCTTACTCGTTGTTTCGTCTTTGATGATATGCACAATTATTTAGTTACATTGCATAACTAAATTTCCACTACCAGATTGTGCACTACCAACCACTATCATTGTTCATGAAGGATAATTGCGCATCATTGCTCACCACCACTCACAATGAGCGCACTACAGTCAGTATAGTGCACTACCTCGCACTACTGGCGCCCCATTACGCACCATTATTTACGAACAATGGACCATTATGCACTTCTAGCGCGCCATTGAAAACCCCGCTGAACTGAGATATAATAAAGTTATATTAATTTTATTTTCTGATGGTCTTTGCAGCAAGAAGCCACGGCCTTACCACCTGAAACCACGAGACTTCAGAACTTCCTACGCATTGAAGACCCCAGTGCCGTACAAGATGTCCACTTCATCGGTGAGGTGCAAGATGACTTGTATTCCAAGTATATATTTGATGAGTCAAAGTCCGGCAAGTGGATGATATTCGTGAAGCATGACGCTATGTTTTCCATGTGGAAGAAGTCCTGCAATTTGTACAGAGAAGGGAAACTGGAAGGAATACATTCGATGAAAGTGTCTACTTCCAAGCCTAGCCCTCGCACTACGGTTGACGGTACAGGAGTGATCATCTTCTACTGCGGCCCTTGCGACGACCAAGAGTTGATGATGCGTTATGGTAGGAACCTCGTCACGGTCCTGCAATTCTTCAACAGTAAAGGCGCTATCCCTTACAAGAGCGACGCGCAGACGGCTCTTGGAACTAGAGCAACTGGCTGCAAGGTTAACTCCATGTACTGGCTGCGGGTGCCTCGTACACGTGACGAATGGAAGCAACACGAGGGAAAGAACTTCTGGAGGTATTGTTTTTTTTTTAATATTAGGAATACATTTGGTTGCGTGCTGGCTTGTTTGACTAGCTATCTATCAAAACTCGTTAAAAAACTTGCTGATGCATTGATAGACTTGCACCAACATTGTTTTATGAAGTGAATATTAAGTTATAATTTTCATTATAACTTCCGAGGCCCCAGCCAATTTTCATAATTTTTTTCATTCAGCAGGGACCGCGGAATTTCTTCTTCCTCGGGAAACTGGCGATCAGAGCTAACCAGAAGCGATCGAGAATCATGGAGGTCACCAGGAAAATATAAAGACCTAGAGAAGTCAACTCGAATTGATCAGGCCTCCTGGAGGTCGCCTGTAAACGATCGAACCTCGTGGAGATCTACTCGAAATGATCAAACCTCGTGTAAAGCTACCGGAAATGATCGGACTTCGAACAGATCGACTGGAAATGATCGAATTTCCTGCAAATCTACCGGAAATGCTCAAACCTCGTGGAGATCTACTGGAAATAATCGGACCTCGCTATCCTGCCTGTCGACAGAACTTACAGACCTCCAGATTTGACACTCGCTGGTTGACAGATCCTGAGAATTTCATTGACGTTGGCGATAAGAACAATGTGGGTCACTGGATGTTAGAGTATCCCATAGATAAGCCGGACTCCTCTTAAATGGATGAAGACTCGGAAGCTTTTTCGTGACGGAGGTCTTCCTGTAGCCGTCCTGTGCGTGCACGCTCCCTCTCAGCTTTACAACCACAAAAATAACGTCCATATAATCCTCAGGCTCAAATATACCAAGAATGACGATTCTAATTCGATGATGGCTGTGGGTAAACGCCTGACTAAGTGCATGGAGTTATTGAACGATCGCGGAACAAATATTTTGAGAGTTTTATGGGCGCACCTTGTTTTCTTTGAAGGTGGACGATGATTCATTGTTTGAACAGTTATGTCTGTCGTAAAAATACTTATGAATCTTTCCCAGATATTTTTCACCGGGCTTCAATTATTGAAAGGATTATTAATTGCCAAATATATATAGTGTCCCATTATTCGTAGCACGAGCTACTGCAATTTATTGCATCAACACGAGGTTGGAATGAAATCGGTATACATTTCGCCTTGCTTACTCTTTATTTGTACATTAGAATTATTTCTTTAAAAAAAATTGTCACTGCGGATTTTTTCATTAATTCCTAAGACTTAAGGTATACTTCCAGATAAAAAAAAACAACTTAGAGGTGACGAAATTGCTTGAATAATTAAAGGAAACAGACAAATTAATGAACAATTTCACAGCCGTCGGTATCCAAAAATTGCGTTAAGATAAATGCTTCCATATTAATGTATGTAACCTGGTGATTTTGTCCTTCATTTTGTGTAGCTTCGAACAAAGTGCGTCTTATGAAAAAATCAAACTAATTGTTCACAGCGGCGAAAGATTTCTGCCAAACAACTTATTCATTGGATTCAAGTTTATTTAGAACATTTTTACATAAAATTTTTAAAATAACGTGTCAAAAATCATTACTTTTAATCTATGGCGTGATTATTTTGCGGCTTGTCTCGAAGTATAATTGAATTTCTAACTGAATACATTCAATTTGTGGAACTGACGTTGCGAACTAATTCACAATTCACTCTATCAACATACATACATTAATACAGATTTTTTTATCAATTAATTATCACAGCGATATTAAGCAGAAGCATTAAAAGTTATTGTAAGAAATTGGTGCTGACAAGGTAGACTTGATTAGCAGTTGTGCATAATATGTACACAATTATTATTTAGAATATGTAACACCTCTGGACGTTTGGGGTGACATTTTGCACCTCTAGACCTTTAGGGTGACATTTTGCACCTCTAGATAGGGTGACATTTTGCACCTCTAGATAGGGTGACATTTTGCACCTCTAGACCTTTAAGTAATATTTTGCACCTCTAGATTTTTAGGGTGACATTTTGCACCTTAAACCTTTAAGTTAATATTTTGCACTTCTGAACATTAATGGTGACATTTAGCACGTTGATACATTGGACAGAATTAACCTAGGTATACATGCTCGATAATATACAACTATGTATTGTAAAAAACTAATTTAAATCTTCTATTCTGAGAAACATGCAAGGATGAAATAATATAAAATGAACTGAAATCCTGAAATGGAATCACAATCATAACTTAATATAAATATAATATTAGATAATATGTCTAATTAATAGATAATTATTTATTTAAGTAGATAATAAATTATTTAAGTAGATAATAAATTATTTAAGTAGATCATAACTGGACTCGTTAAAATGAATCAGAGGACTGGCGGACCGGCCAAGAGGGGAAGTTTCCCGTAGCTGTGTCCGTTTGCCAAGACGCGCGCCGGGGGGGCGTAAAACCTGCCAAGAGGAAGGGTTATGAGTGATAAACACTTGACAAGGAGTAACGAGCACCTGACAAGTAGAGAGTGACAAGCACCTGACAAGTAGAGAGTGACAAGCACCTGACAAGTAGAGAGTGACTCACAAATTCACCAAATTTCCATATAAAAGTTTTGATGTCTTGCTCAGGTTGTTAATCATACAATTTTACATACGATCTATAAAATTATGATTATTTATCTCGCAAAGTCCTGACAAGGATACAGTATGATGAACTTTTGTGACCTTTAATCTGCTTTTAAATTTCAAGTAAATTTTGGATGTATGTAATAAAATGAACTTTAACCAAAGTAGAACCATCCGACCACTGGCTGTAGCAATTTCATTCCCCGTAGACTGTAAGAATGGTTAGTGGATGGTTACCTAAGTTAGTTAGTGGAAGGTTACGTCTGAGGTTAGTGGATGGTTACCTGAATTTACTTCGATACTTAGATTTTAATTATCTATGTTTAAATTCGACTTTTATTCATTGATTATATTTGTGTTCCATACATTTCTGAACTGATTGAATAATAATAAGAATCATAAATCTCCACCGTTCAACCAATCACATGTTTGAAACTTTGATTGAATTAATCAACAACTCCAATCCGCGGGAAGCCTAAACACTCACATAATGCTCAGTCTGATCACTCCCCCAAATAATCAATAATCGCTCTCCTAAATATACGAAATTCCCTACCCAATACTAAATAATCACAAAATGCTCAGCCTAATCACTCCCCTAATACCCAATAATCACTCTCCCGAATACACGAAATACTCTCACCCAATATTAACTTGACACTCCAATAAGCCAATTTCCTCACATGACACTAACTGACTACCTATCACTTGCCCACATGAGTTATCCCAATAGCCCAATATCGCGATAGTCCTTCATCAACAAGCGATATCTGACATTTTCCGTTGACAATTGGGAGTACGCTAGCCACGAGCCAAGTACTTCGTGTTGGAAACGTGCTTTTATCATAGGATTTTATACATTGTGTAATGAATTCTGTAGTAAATACCATTGACATGGTGTTTTACTAATGTTCAAGAAGTAGTTATTGCACATGAAGTCGCTATGGCTATACGAAGTTATCCAAATCGGACCCACTTTCCTATCGAGCATACGAGAGGAAACTAGTTAAAACTGGGTCGAGATGATGCACACAAGAATAGCAAGTTTCCAGCTATTCGGACAAGACCCCACGCATTTCTATTCGTGCCAGCCAGCAGCCACTTGTTCAAGTGATTGGTCTGCCAAGCCAGGACAGACTCGCGTCAAAGTCACAAATGAGTTATTTCACTACTTTCTATGTAGAAAATATTCGAAATATTTATGTAGAAATTATTTGAAGTTAGCAGACATGGAGCTGATTACACCCTACGGCCCCATACATGAAATGGTTCGAAGGAGTATTCTAGAAAACACTACGAATGGATATACATGGATACACATTTAGTACCTCGTATGTATGTACCATTATAAACAAAAATATACTACGACGATGAGTCATCCAAGACAACTCATGCGCCTGGGCAACTAACCTTCATAGTTTTAGTTGGGCGCCATTTTTCGAAATGAATTATTAATTCGTAAGTTCATTGTTACAGGTCAACATTTCTGTCATCTGCGCATTCACTCATGTCTATCGTATAGCATTTACGGATGATAATCTTTCCTGAACAGAATAATGATTACCGTATATATATCACGTAATATTATTAATAACTTACCAGAGGCTGTTTCTACAACGTATTTCCCACAACAGAAAAGAGTGAATCACTCTTCAGACGCAATCACATAAAAATCAATGACATAAATCAGTTTCCCAGAACTCAATAAATCGCTACCCAAACAAGGAATAAAACAGAAAGCTTCTATCAAAGTTTATTAAGAAGTGCACTTGGACATCAACGCCGCACATAAATGGAAGACGAGATATGAAACATACGTGTGTCAGCGTGACCCACTTACAGGCAATGGGTGAAAAAAAAAAGCATTGCTTATTCGACGATGACTCATTTCTTTGAGTGTAATACTAAACTACAAACATTTTCTCACGTAAAGAAATGTACGTGAAAAATTTACTGATAGAAGGCACAAAACTACTGCAAGATACAACACATTCATGTTCCGATATTGGACGTTAGCTTCGGAATAAGAGGGTGAGATCCAATCTTTCCGTGCCATCGGCAAACACGTGATTGGCAGTAACGTAAACAAGCACGTGATTGGCAGTAACTGGGTATCCCAAATAAAAAAAAAAAAACACACACATACACAAATTCACCAAATTTCCATATAAAAGTCTATGTCTTGCTCAGGTTGTTAATCATAAAATTACACATACGATCTATAAAATTATGATAGATCTCGCAAAGTCCTGCCAAGGATACAGTATGATGAACTCTTGTGACCTTTACTCTGCTTTTAAATTTTAAGTAAATTTTTTATATACGGAATCAAATGAGCTTGACCAAAGAAGATGCAACCGACCGCTGGCTGTCACATTTTATTTCCCGTAGACTGTCCACCTCTCTCAGATTGGGGGATGGTTACCTATAACAGGCAATTTACTTCGGTTCTTAGATTTCAATCCCCTACGTTTATATTTGGCTTTTATTCATTGATTATATAAATGTTCCATACATTTTTCCATACATTTGTGAACTGGTCATGGAATAATAATATGAATCCTCCTGCACCATTCAACTAATCACTGGCAAGAAACTTCGATTGAATTAATCAACGATTCCAAACCACGGGAAGCCTAATCACTCTCCCAAATAACCAATAATCACTCCCCGAATACACGAAATTCTCTCACGCAATAATCACTTAACACTCTTGTAAGACAATTTTCTCACCTGACACTAACAAACTATCATTTGCACCCAAGAGTTATCCCATTAGCCCAATATCGCGATAATCCTTCATCAACATGCGATACCCGACATTTTCCGTTGACAATTGGGAGAGCGCCAGCCACGAGCCACGTACTTCGTGTTGGATAAATGCTTTTATCCTAAAATTTTATGCGTTTTTTAATGGATTCTGTAGTAAATGTTATTGACATGGTGTTTTAATAAGGTTTTATATAGTAGTTATTGCAGCACCAGTTGTGTCAGTGTTCGAGTTTAGCTCAAAAGACACACGACGCCATAAAAGCGAGGAGCATCCGAAGTCATGTTGTTCAAATAGGACAAACTTTCCTGTCGAGCAGACGAGAAGAAAAGAGCCGAACTGGGTCAAGATGATGCACACAAGAACAGTAAGTACCAGCTATTCGGACAAGGCCCGATGCATTTCTATTTGTGCCAGCCACTTGTTCAAGTGATTGGCCTGCTAAGCCAGGACAGACGAGGAAGACGCGCGTCACAACCGACGAGTAGTTATTTCACTACATTCTATGTAGAAATATTTGAAATATTCTATGTAGTAAATGTTTGAAGTTAGCAGACATGGAGCTGTTGCACCCTACGACGCCGGAAATTAAATGGTTTGAAGGATTATTCTAGAAAACACTACGAATGATAATAAAGTATACACTAGGGATACTTCGAAAATTAGTCAGCCAAGACAACTAATTCGCTTGGGCAACTAACCTTCATAGTTAGGTTGTGCGTCATCATTATTTGACAGGAATAATTAATTCATAAGTTCATTGTTACTGATCTACATTTCCATCATCTGCGCATCTATCATAGCATAATCACGTAATATCATAATAACTTACCAGAGGCTGTTTCTACAACGTATTTCCCACAACAGAAAAGAGTGAATCACTCTTCAGACGCAATCACATAAAAATCAATGACATAAATCAGTTTCCCAGAACTCAATAAATCGCTACCCAAACAAGGAATAAAACAGAAAGCTTCTATCAAAGTTTATTAAGAAGTGCACTTGGACATCAACGCCGCACATAAATGGAAGACGAGATATGAAACATATGTGGGTCAGCGTGACCCACAAACAGGCAATGGGCGAAAAAAGCATGGCTTATTCGACTATGACTCATTACTTTGAGTGTAATACTTAACTACATACATTTTCTTACGTAAAGAAATGAAAAATTTACTGATAGAAGGCACAAGTCTACTGCAAGATACACATTCATGTTCCGATATTGGACGTTGGCTTCGGAATAAGAGGGTGAGATCCAATCTTTCCGTGCCATCGGCAAACACGTGATTGGCAGTAACGTAAACAAGCACGTGATTGGCAGTAACATAACCAAGCACGTGATTGGCAGTAACGTAACCAAGCACGTGATTGGCAGTAACGTAACCAAGCACGTGATTGGCAGTAACGTAACCAAGCACGTGATTGGCAGCAACGTAATCAGCAGTGACATGCCCAAGCACGTGAGAGATACAGAGACGAACATTTAAAGTATACATAGATAACTTAATACGAGAACAGCACATAGTTACGAACACAAAAGCGAGGGACACAAGACAACAACACCACGGAGGTACTGTTATTGTGAACACAAAATCCAGTTATTGTGAACACAAGCTGTACTAATTCTTGTGTCGGGTGAACATGAGCAGTTCTAGCTATCGACATTTGGCCAAAATTGAAGGCTTTATAATTAATTTCAACCATTTTAATTAAGGATGAGTGCGGTAACATACGAGATTCTCAGTCCAGGTACAAAAATATATTCTTTGCGGCCACCGTAAGTCGTAGTCGTAACTTATGACCAACGACGGAACGAAGAGTGAAGGTTGGTGTTTGGTGACAAGCACGAGGTGGAGTGTTGGTGTTTGACGACAAGCACGAGGTGGAGTGTTGGTGTTTGACGACAAACACGAGGTGGAGTGTTGGTGTTTGACGACAAACTGAGTGTTGTTGTGAGTGTGTAGACTACCCTGCCAGAGTCTATCTACACTACACTATTGGTGTTTGTTTACACCACAAATGCTGGACTGCACGGTCAGTACCACCTGGCTCGCTGCAGCTCTATTTGGTCCAGCAGCGTCTTGGCCTGGTGAGTCACGTACATCTGCAACAAACATCATACATTGAGTTGACTTGTACACATGAATGACGCGTATATCTGCGCAAATAATACATTGTAATAATAATTACTACCTGAGCAAACGATTGTAATAAACTTGATGGTCCCGTACAAGTAATGCCCGCTCATAAGATTCTGAAGTTGACAGCAGCTTGCTGAACGTCGATGTCATTCTTTTCTGCTACGTTACGTATGAATAACACCTACTTTGTGACGGCTGTGCACTATTCACCAGTTGAATACATTTGGCGGCTTGAACAGTGAACACACCAATGGTTTGAACTCACTCGGTAGGTTGAACGCATGCTTGGGTTGAACACAACCGGCGGTAAAAATTTATCCAGGGGTTTGAACTCATCTTGCGGGCTGAACTAACCTTGCGGATCGAACTCACCTTTCGGGTTGAATTCACCTTCTGAGTTAAACTCAACTTGCAGGTTGAATGCACCTCTCGAGTTGAACTGAACTCACGTGTTGAACTCACCTGGAAGAGGGTGATGGCAAAGATGACGCCCGCTGCCACGTAGAGGTTGTTCTCCAGCAACTGGATGATGGCTGACATGCAGCCGCGAGTGTTGATCACATCCGACGCCTCACTCTCCTGCATCATTTACATCATTAATAACACCATAATTAACAGTACCTCACTCTCCTGCACCATTTACATCATTAATGACACCATAATTAACAGTACCTCACTCTCCTGCACCATTTACATCATTAATAACACCATAATTAACAGTACCTCACTCTCCAGCACCATTTACATCATTAATAACACCATAATTAACAGTACCTCACTCTTCTGCACCATTTACATCATTAATGACACCATAATTAACAGTACCTCACTCTCCTGCACCATTTACATCATTAATAACACCATAAATAACAGTACCTCACTCTCCAGCACCATTTACATCATTAATAACACCATAATTAACAGTACCTCACTCTCCTGCATAATTTACATCATTAATGACACCATAATTAACAGTACCTCACTCTCCTGCACCATTTACATCATTAATGACACCATAACTAACAGTACCTCACTCTCCTGCACCATTTACTTCATTTATGACACCATAATTAACCACCTCACTCTCCTGCATCATTTACATCATTAATGACATCATCAATGGTGGATTTGTTTCATGGTTACTATGTACCCACTATGCGGTTTTACAATAAACGCGTTACTAACTGGGATTCTAGGGCATACAGTATTCTACTTTAAGCCCGCAGCAATATCAACGACTTTATATAATTTTCAACAATATTAAGAAGACAAATTTGAAAAAGATAGCTATCTAGTTACGGATCTATAGAGGGACCATTACACTGAAACATTACACAGGTTATATTTCAGCCTAGAAACAATTGTTAGATTAGTTCTGTGCATGAGTAAGAAGACGGGTACAAGTAAAGACCAACCTTTAGGCTCTGCATGTTGTAACCGCACATCATGTCGCGCTGTCCCTGCACATAACCAAATATCATTATAATCGTGATAATTAATAATATCATCATATCATGAATTTAAACAAGGAATCTATAGTTGCGTAAAAATTGTCATGGTTTATTGAAGTGGTGGCAATGTCTCCATTTATCATGACAGTACTTGAGGCTGACACTGTCTGCCTGCCAATTTCTGGCACTGATATTGTTTGACACTACATGACTGATACATGGTTGAGATTATGAGAAATACATCACAAACACTGAGACAAACACGTCACTAACACTGAGAGTGACAGACACTATTACTCATACCTGATTGAAATTATGAGAAATACCTCACAAACACTAACACAAACACGTCACTAACACTGAGAGTGACAGACACTATTACTCATACCTGATTGATGTTATGAGAAATACCTCACAAACACTAAGACATACACGTCACTAACACTGAGAGCAACAAAATGATTGATAACACAGATAACATTACTGACGCCCATGCTCCACGAGAGGCAGCAGGAGTGGGGCACCCCGCAGCGCTCAGGGCTGGGATTGCCCACAGAGCAGTTGAAGTACTCGTTGTTGTTCCAGTCCAGGTAGCCTTGTGACGTCATCCCGCAACACCCAACCTGTGATTACACACAAACTGAACATATGACACACATGATACGCACACTTCGCAGTTGGATACAAAGTGTGTGATCTTTAATGTATGGTATTTGTTCAATTCGGGAAATGTAGGTGACTTTCTAACCTAATCTCACTCACATCTCGCAACATCAGGTGTGGGACTTCAAGTGGCACTATCAATTGAGGTTTCAAGGATAAGTATTGATTAACATGCATTAATTAATCTTCATTGAAAATGTTTCAAATTGTTGTAATAGAAACATTTTAAATAAATCATAAAAAAACTAGTCACTTATGTTGAAGCATTGCAATGACAACACAACAACATGTAAGACCTATCTAGTTGAATTTAGTGATGATACTGTTGATGCGTACTGCAGGGTTCGTACTGGTATTTAGAAAAAAAAAATTCCATGACTCTCCATGACCATCAATATAATTTTCCAAGACTCGTCTACGACAGGTTTAGCATGACTGAAAGACTAACTGTGCATGCTTCATAATCACCTACAGTAGATAAATAGCAAACGTGTAAATGCATAGTTCTTCATGGCTCTTCAAAGGTGGAATAGCTCTTCAAAGCTGCTTCCCCCATATTTGCCACATCAAAGTTTTTTTAGCACAATGCAGGGTTGGCAATGATTAAATCAAAATGATTAAATCACGTGATTAAATCACTTGATTTTTTTATAAAAAAATCATGATTTTTTTTTATTTTTTTGATTTATTTGATTTTTTCTATTTTTTCATATATTTAAATATATTGAGTGGCAGTCTTTAATTTATATTGAGGTATTGTTATTCATGGTTTAGTATAAATGTACTATGAATTCTTGTGACGTCATCCCGCAACACCCAACCTGTGATTACACACAAACTGAACATATGACACACATGATATGCACACTTCGCAGTTGGATACAAAGTCTGTGATCTTTAATGTATGGTATTTGTTCAATTCGGGAAACGTAGGCAACTTTCTAACCTAATCTCAATCACATCTCGCAATATCAAATGTGAGACTTCAAGTAGCACTATCAATTGAGGTTTCCAGGTTAAAATAAATGTTTTCCAGGATAAAATGATGCATCAGTATTAAATAACATGCATTAATTAATCTTCATTGAAAATGTCTTAAATTATTGTAATTTTTGTAAATTCTGTTGTAATGTCTCGAATCAGAAAAGAAAACTAGTCTACTTATTTTGAAGTATTGCGATAACAACACTACAAAATGTAAGACGTATCTAGTTGAAGTTAGTAATGATACTGTTAATGCGTACACTACTGTATAAGCAATCTTTATGAAATGTCCACAACACACACCGAGATTGGCCAGACGGGCATCGACATTCCTTCTTGGAATGTCGGGAATACAGAGGAGTGCAGGGGAATACTTTCTACCATCACTTGCCTTCATCTGCAGGGTGTCCACCCAACACTTGCCTTCATCTGCAGGGTGTCCACCCAACACTTGCCTTCATCTGCAGGCTGTCCACCCAGCACTTGCCTTCATCTGCAGGGTGTCCACCCAACACTTGCCTTCATCTGCAGGGTGTCGACCAAGTCCTTGGTGTTGTCGCTCTCCCTGTAGTCTTCTATCAAGCGTTCAGACAAGATCAGCTCCATGATCTCACGGGACTTCCACGGGAATACGAGGAAGGCTATTGCGATGATCAGCTCCAGGATCAGGAAGATTGTCACGCTCCAGAAATACTGCAAAAAATTACATTTTTACAACACAATTGTGGTTGAGGGATGCTGAGGGATGACATGCCTCACTTAATCATGAATATCAACAGTAGGTACTAATTGTTCTATGCAGCAAGACATTTTGAATATGCAAGAGAATCCAAGTCAAAATGGTCAAAGAAATTGGTGTGCTTTAAAAAATATAGCAAATTGTGCTTCCTTAACATTGAGTTGTTAATATCCTTTGAATGTAGAATCCCAGTTTCTGGCCTTTACAGTCTCTAGGTTAGATAACATGATTAGAGCCTTAATATAAATAGGTCATTCTTTGCCTCGTGTGAGTGTGAAAGGAAAGTACCTATAAGCAGGATACATTAATGTCCAGCCATAGTCAAAAGGAAGACCAGCCCATCAAAGATAGAACAATTTTGATAATTGAGCATATGAATATAATTAGTCCTATCAAATCTTATGAGCCCTCTACAGCTTCTTGAAAAAAAATATATAAAAACTTTGGATTTGAGATCGATCAAATGTAAAGTTTTTCTGCAATTAGATTCTCAGTCTTCCAGACAAAAGTTTTAAATTGCAGTAAATGGTAATAAAACTTGTGGCAAGTTGTCAAAATCAATCATACTTCATTTCCAACAATTTTAGGTTTTGTTTTTTGAACTCATAGTATGGATAGCAAGCAATATAAATGCTCAGAGAGAAGGTAACTCACAAGGCGCAGCAGACAAAGGTTTTCTCGCAGAGCTCCCACACAGCCAGAGAAGGAGACAATCCAAATGATGGCACCAAGAGCTAGAAGAACCCCCGACAGATCCGTGATGACAATGTATGCAGTCTCAAGGGAGCCTTTGCCATCCCATGACTCAACTGCTGTGAAGTACATGCCATACGCACCTGCTGCGGACAGCAACAACCCACACACCTGAGCAGAACAAATATATAATTATATAGATTTCAGTGATTGCATTAATAGATAGTCACATCATGAGAATTCTTTAAGTTGAGAGTTATTCTCATCAGCAATATTAAAACTTATCATTAATCAGCAATAATCTTTAATCTGTCAACAGATTGACTCAAATGGCTAAAATTTATTTATTTTCTTGTTCTTTAAACTTTAGCAGAATGACCTTCTTACACAAAGACATAATTAAGCTAGGTTGTAAGCACATCCCTTACTGCCTTCCTTGTTTACCTGATTTTAACCTGGATTCTAGCTCATGGATTCAAACCATTCAAGTTTGGATTCTAAGCCATGGATTCAAACCTTCAAAGTATGCATTCTAACTCATACATTCATGCTTTTCATACTTAGCAATGCCATGTGCTTTCTTGTCTCATTCCAGCACTAATGTAAATCCCAGTGCCATTACCTACAATTTGAAGCTGTGATATGTCCATATTGAGAATTTTGAAGCCGAGTAGAAATTTACTAGTAAGCGAGAACATTGCAAGGGTGAGTTTGTAATGCTTATTTTAGGGAGCAATGCTTGGTGGGCATTTTTGAAAAAACATTTGATTTCTCCCCCCACCCTTTCAAATTTCCCCTCCCTTTTTTCAAAACTATGAATTGAAAAAAAGCTACAACCAATCTCTAGATCTTTTATTTGCGAATCAAACGGCATATCTCTCATTGCTCTAGCTTAAAAACTCTAGGAGTAGGAGGAGATAGGTTTGCAGTGACAATAAGTGTGAATGTTCAGTAGAGCCCGGCAAAGTCCCAAGCGCCTCATAATAGGCATTCAAGGTGGCTTGGATACAAGACTATATGTTACTAAAGCTGAAATTCAGTCAAAGATGGTGGGAATGCTTGCATGAGCACCATGACCATCCCACACAACAGCAGCCGGGTAACTAAAGATTAGCATCTTCAGGTTGTCAATTTATGTGCCCAGCCAGTAATTTCTGCCTATATTAAATGTGAAAGAACTCCCCCACCCCTAACCCTTTCGTGAACTGTCGTCATGGCATAAATCAGTGGTTCCCAAACTTTTTCAGGCTGGCGCCCCCTTTGGCTCCCTAGTGAATTTCTATCGCCCCCCACAGACACATATAAAATTATACGCATCTTTCTTGAAATTTAGTACGCTGCAATTTTAGAAGATAACGGTTAAACACAAATGTGTCTTTTACAAATAGAACCCCATTTAGTGAACCAATATGTTTTTATGCTGTTTTAACTGTTTGAGCACAAGAAACCTAGGACGTCTTGGGCAAATTTACGGCCGGACTCGTGGCCGGTCTCACGGCCAGTCTCCAAATTCAATTATCAAGTAATATCTCCCAAACTAATGAACGCAGCTCAATGAAACTTGGAGCATGTATTCATCAGAACCTAACGGTGATTTTTAGCTCGTAAAAAATTTTAAATTTCACCTTCATTCGTGAGTTATATTGCGATAAAGGCCGAAATTCGCAGTGATCAAATAATTTGAACGAAAATTTGAAATTGAACGAAATTTTGAATATACTTCAAAAAATTTTCGATTTTACCTTCGTTTGCGAGTTTTTTTTCATTTCACCGTCATTCTTGATTTCACACTCCCTCATATTCGGCCTGTATCGCCGGATAATTCGTCGCTTCAATTCGCGGCGATCAAAAAATTTTTTCTAAACTACTCAATAGATTTCAACGAAACTTTGAATATAAATACCTAACCTCCCAACGGTGATGTTTAGCTCGTGACAATTTTATATTTTGCTTTCGTTTGCTAGTTATACAGATATAGAAGGAACAACCGGCTTTTCTACCGGCCGGTTTAACTACGAGCCGTTTACGAATATCCGTATACTCATAGCCGTATAACTCGCAAACGAAGGCAAAACGAAAAAATTGTAGCGAGCTAAACATNCCGTGGTCTGTCTCTTATACACATCTAGATGTGTATAAGAGACAGTTGCCACTATGCTGCCTGATGTCTGATGATACTTGATAAGTTGATACTGACATTTGATGGCTGAACCAGGCTTGTGGCCTGATGCACTCTTATTGCACTGTGCACAATGCACAATTGCACATGCACTAATTAATTAATTATTACAAATAATTTTTAATGTTGCTAAAAAGATTCAGTTTGATGGAAATAAAAAGTTAAAATCAATCAATGAAGAATAGAATCCTAGGTACCTAGATAGGCTAGGTTGATAAAATATATTAAAAAATGAAAATTATTCGCAAATTGTTTGGACAAAGCGTGTCCGAGTCTGACTTACTCAGACTTACTGACTTAGCCTTCTAGGCTAGCAAATATTAAACTTAATAGATGAATTTATTAGATTGATAAAAATATTTTTCAACCAGTCTGGAGTCTGGACTGATATAATATAAATCTACATAAAATATATGTTTTTTTTATTAGTGGACACTCACCACTGTGAGTCTGTGACAGTGTTGACTCACTCACTTGACTGTGTTGTTGCCTGTTGGACTGTTGCAGATTATTTGTCAAAATTCAAAATCAAATTAGTACCTAGGCTATTGTTGAGTCAAATGATTAATGTTCATTGGTGAATCTGTTTCTGTTTATCCATAAATCATGATGCTGATGGAGGACTTCACTTCACATTTGATCAGTTTTATTCTTCCAAATAGGCCTACATACATTTATATTTTAAAACAGGTTATTCTGCTTATTCAAGATCAAGAGTCAAGACTATCAAATTAGTATGCTTACCCAAAATATAAAGTTGAACATGAAGAGGGTCCATTTCAAACAAGAACTTATGTGGGAATGGTTCCGACCTTGAGACATTTTTGTAAATTGAGAATGAGAAATACGGACAATATGGCGTGGCGGTGTGAGGAATTGAATCTGAGTCACGTCGAACTAAATAATACGATAGGTACAAAGGAAAAATCAACGAAGCTGTGAGCAGGTACGAAGTACGATCATTAAGGCATAAGTAGTTAATTAGCCTGGATAAATACAGTTGCTTTTAGCAACACAGCTGATGTTCATACGTCATTGAAGAATTAAGTAGATAAACACTGGAAGGACATTTCTGCGAATGACGCTACTCGTAGGCGTGTTACTTCCGACTCGAATTGTAAGTTGCAACACGGGAAGTCAAGAGGTCGATGTCTTAAGTTGGCTGTCTCGGTATGGGAGAAGGAATAATTTCTGTGCACGGCACGTAATTAAAAGAATATACTTGTTTATACTGTAACAAAGATAAAGTTTATTTTTTTCGGCAAAAACTTTGTTTATAGGGGCAAATTTGAGACTGACAACATTTGGTCGAGAACGAATAATCATTTTAAAATGATTTTTATTGACTATATCATACGCTACAAGTGTTTAAAGCTCGCGATTTCGAGTTTCATTACTTGTTTATAATAGAATATAATAGAAGTGTCGGTACTGAAGAAATAGGCCCATAGCCTGTTGCCAATTCTGGTCTCGCGGCCGCCGGACTCCAAACATAGAAAAAACCTAGCCAATCAACGAAAACCTCGCAGGTTAGGTCCAGTTAGGAACAGGTTCCACTAAAAACACACAAAAAAACTAGAAAATCCATAAAAAAACACTAAGAAAACCTTTCCGTCCGCGAGACCGGCCGCGGGTCCGGCCGTAAATTTGTCCGAGACCTCCTCCTTGCCGATTCTGACCAGAAACTGGCGCGCAGAGCTGGGATCGAACCCGCGCCTCTCTGCGCCAATCTTGGAACTCTGATCTTTAACCCACTGGGCCACCCTACCCCGGCTACCCCACCTGGGCTTAAAAAATTTCAACTCATTATCGACATAAACTCCTAAATCTTTTTCGAATGTCGACTTCGACATCATCACTCTGTCGTTGCAATAATATCTAAATATCTTCTCATATTGTAACCTTGTTGTTCAGCGTTTTTGCCAAGGTGGATTACTTTACACTTAGCTTTAAAACGAAGCATGCTTAAACCTTATAGGCAAAATGAGATACAAGAAGCTTATTATTCCAGTAAGAAAATTAAATAAGATAACGCACACATGTTTGGGTTTGGTCATCAAGGCATTTTTGTTGTAGGGGAAACACCAGTAATATTTTAAAGATATTAACATATTACTATATTCTGAATATGAGATGTTGCAGGAAATTGCCGGCAGAGATTCACTTATTTCATTAACTTATTCTTTTTATCAGTAAATACGTTCGCCTGTGGGTCAGCAAACGTAGGTATGGCCTACAAAAGACTGTACCGACACATATATGACGAATTTTTGGTTACGATTTCCTTTATAGCTCCCCTGCTATATTTTTAACGCTTTATTTTAAATTAACGTGCGAAGTGCCGCTATGTTTTTGTATCCTTTGCAAGAATAACTAACTTAGCGTTCCCGATCGCCGGGCGCGTCAAACAAACAAAAAAAAAAAAAATATCTGACAACTCGCGCATGAGCATACTGTGAGCAAAAACTTTGTTGTTGAATTTTTTAAGACTGTTTTAGTTGAATAAATAAAATTATTTTTCTTTAAGCCACGAACTGTTTCGAATTGACTAAGTTATAAGTGATAGCTCTTTATTCGTCTTAGAAATTCATCTCGCAAATTCACCCCAGAAGCCTGGAAATTGCAATACCAGAATCAATCATCAGAATAATTTATGATCATTGCTTCGTTTTCATCAGTAAACTTAGGCCCCATATATTTAATTCAGTTAAATTTATTAACAAGTGAGTTCAGACCATACTTTATTCCCAGCATTCGTTCACGATTTATAAAAAAGTTAGGTTAAAAAGAATATTTGCTTAGAACTTCTTTAGAGTTTAGCTTTTAGCTTTAAATAATAGGTACAGTGGATTATATTTAATAATAGGTACGAATTAACGAAAAACTATAGTGTATGTGTATTCATGGAACAACTGAGCACATAGACTGACATAGTATTACTGTATATGAAATTTAATCATTTGCGATGATCAAATGGACACTTAGTCACATTTGAGGTGGGTAACATTAATATAACAGTTCTCATACATTAACATTATATAACAGTTCTCATACGAGATACGAGATTCACACGAGATTCACCATATATATTTTCCATCAAATATAGATAGATATATATATCTTTAGGCTCTAGATATATGATGAAATTTTATGTTTATTTGTTTGTGTGTTTATTTGAAGCTGCTCTTTGAGGAAGCGCACAGCGGCGTAAGTTCTTCAATACATATATTTTTTATCAATTATCTGTACATTTCCAAAACTTATCTGTATATATTATACAGATAAGTTCCTCCTTATCCTATATATTTTCCAGGATTTTTTCTAATTTTTTACAATTTTCAGTCATCCCCTAAACCTATCACTTTATTATTAATTTATATCCAACTCGTTTCTCAATAATTTTCAAGGCAATTCTTCGACATTTTCCATTCATTTGACGTAAACTTCTCCACCATTATCAGCATAAAAGTCTCATCAGAACACAATTTGTATTGAAGTCCCACTATTCACTTTGTTTCATTCATTTCAAGCCCACTTTATTTCATTGTGGGCATTCAAGCCCAATTAATATTGTACTTATATTTCACAATTCATCCGTACCAAAATTTTAAATTTGGATTGTTTATTGCGAACTCATTGTTGAAATTATCCACTCAACGCGACAATCTTCATGCCAATGCTACATGGAATTCGCGATTTAATAACTTGAAAGAAGAAAAAAAGCCTGGTAAATCGGTATTTATGTTGAAAATTCAGTATTTTCAAAGTACTTCTTATAAGGGAAATATTATAGGACGTTCCAAATCACGAGTAATGAATTTTTTAGTTTCACAACAGAAATTGTATTTCTGATAGGTGCTACATTTTTTAAAGCGACTAGTGCTATGCTGGTGCAGGCGACCCAAGTGTTATTGACAGAAAAATTACGTTAAACATCCGCTTGTGTATTATCTTTAGAGTAATGCTTGCAAAAATATGTAGAGAAAAGCTTGAAATATCTAAGTTTCATTGATAATTACTTGATCTTGTAGTTCGTCGACAATTCACAAGGTCAAGTTTGCATATGGGACTCTACGGGACTTCGTCAGCGCAAGTCGTGCGAAAAAAAGTCCACGGAAGTTGCACGAAATAGTTCAGTGCTGGAAAACACCGCGCGAAGTTTGAGTAATATCATACCACTTTGCTAAAATTTTACCTGCAGTGTAGTCATTCATACACTTTTTTGTTGTATTAACAAGAATAAACGTCAATATTATTATTTTATATGTCATACAACTCTACGAGGAAGGAGTAATACATTTCATGGAATTACGTGCCCAGAACTTTAAAAATATTGAGAAGGTCTCAGAAATTTCAGGTGCTGGATGGTATTTTACGTGAATTTCAATATTACAAACCTAACCTTGACCAGCTTGAGTTCTAGCCTCAAATTTTAGTAAGCGACGAAATAAAAGCGTGACTAACATGAAAGTCTGCAGCATTATCAACAATTATGAAAATAGGTTTATGCAAATAAATAGGTTATGACCAGTGGATAGAAGCAAGTCTTTATGTACAGTGAGGCCTAATTAACAAGGATAATAAACTTCAAAGAAGTAAAAAGGAAGTATATATTCAAGAGTTAACGCACAACGCTGTTTACGTACGGCTGCCTGAAGAACAGACATGACCGGAAGCTTCAGAGATAACACCGACACAGGTTAGTTGTCTCTGCTTCCTTAGCTCTGAAGCGATATCGTAGAATAATGGTTACTCCTCATATTCAAATTTATTCACCAAAATAAGAATACAATATTAATTAAAACTTTTTACCTGAAAAAAAAAACAGAATATAAAGGCGAAGACGTGTGACAACACCGAGTGTTGAGAGGTCGTCTCGCCGCCGTCACCTGTGCAAGCCTTCAGTGCCTGACAGACCTTTAGAGTAGTAGGTTGTCTGGTCGCGCTCGGTCCCGCGCGCTGGCCCGCGAAACTAAGATATTAAAGAGAATCATCCATTCTCTTTAATTAATATATTAGAGCAATAACTGTGTCATTTGTGATGATAATACGGTTTGAAGTGTGATGAATTATCCATTATTGTTCAGTGAACTTTAGAGAAGGTAATCCGTGTCACGTTGCAATCGATATCGTCTCTTGAAGATTATCATTTGTAGGCCGTCACATTGCCGGGGCAGGTGCAATGTCTTCGCGGCTCGTGTCAAAATTCACTAAATTCACATTTTTATTTGCGTGTCTTGAAAGTGGAGCGTTAGAGAGGCGGTCTCAGTTTCAAAATATTTTAACTGTGATAGTTATTAGTTAGCCATACGATGGCTTTATTCAATTACCTAATTAGTGACTAAAAATATTGGTATAAATTCGACTAACGTGGATTCAATGAACAGGATTTACGTGGAGGGATTTTCCCATCTCCGTAAAACTTGCCGCGTCGTGTCTGCTGATGAAATGTTCGCCTTTACGTCTTCTGTTGGTGGTGCGCTTGTTGGTTGTCGTTGTTTGGGTGAGATTGGTTGTTTGGTTCTGGTGGTGGTTGTTTGGTTGTGTTTGGTTATTTGGTTCTGGTGGTGGTTGTAGTTGTTTGATTGGGGTTTTGTTACGGTTGTTTGGTTGTAGTCGTTTGTTTGTGGTTGTTTTGTTGTGGTTGTTTGGTTGTGGTTGTTTGGTTGTGATTGTTTTGTTGTGGTTGTTTGGTTGTGGTTGTTTGGTTGTGATTGTTTGGTTGTGATTGTTTGGTTGTGGTTGTTTTGTTGTGGTAGTTTGGTTGTGGTTATTTATTGTGGTTTTCTGTTTATGGATGTTGTTGCTTGTGTTGCTGCACATCTCACAGGGCCCCGATGATGCGGGCTTTCTTAGCCGCGTTTTCGCTGGCCAAAATATGGCCGGCGATGATGCGACCTCGAAATACTGAAAGTATATGAATAATTTTGCATTGCTTCTCTTACACAGAATTTGTTTAACGAGGAGCTGATATTGAGGGGTTGTTAAGGGGATAATGTGATGTGGGAGTAAAGGTGGGGAGTGGAGAGGCAGTGGGAGTAAAGGTGGGGAGTGGAGAGGCAGTGGGAGTAAAGGTGGGGAGTGGTGTCTACAGAGATCTGAAGATATGAGAAATATATAATGATG